GAGTGGAACTTCACTATGACTGGAGGGAAAGACTGTGTCAAATCTGCTCACAGAACAGCACATTACTCGGGCATAAGATTTATTCAGATCTAGAGGCCTGGGACAAAATGGGTTTTACAAGAGCTTGAATGACATTCGTTGATGGTTTAGTTCACATGTTCAGAAAAAAAACTAACAAAACAAATATACAAGACACTTTAGCAACTTGCTGAAGCAAATTAACTTTTTCTGGTAAATTTGGGGGGGGGGGGCAACATTTCTAAGTTACGCTACAAACACACATTAAATTACCAAAGTTAAATTGATTAGTGAATTAATCTGAACAAGTCAGTGCTTGGATAAGAATTAATCAGGAAAGAGATGTGGAAAATGCAAAATGTTAGGATTAGATTTAATTGTAAATAATATCTTTACTATCTTAATTATGTTTAGTAATTGTCATCCACTCATTTCTATGAATGTTTGTTATTGTTAATGAGGATTCTGAGCAAATATGCAGGATTATGCTTCTTTTGTTTTTAAAAAACTTTTTCAAAACATACCATTTAGCTAAAATGCCAACAGGGAAAGAAAAACAGGAGTTTTAGGATCAATCTTTTTAGATTTATTAAACAAAAACTCAATTCAGAGAATGATACTGAATCTATTGACCTCAAAATAGAGATGTGACAAGAAGAGACAGGATGTCAAAGACACCAGAAAAACTCTTTCGATCACAAGCATGCTTACTTTCCTTTTAATGCAATGTGGGTGCAGCTGCAGAGTCACTCAGAAGCATGAGCTGTGGCTTTGGTTAGTCTGTGTGAATAGCTGTGAAGAATTTTATTTATAGGCATGTTTTTTAAATGTCTGCAAGAGGTTTTTTTTTTATGATTTCCTTACTATAAAACCTTTAAAGGGTTGATATCAAGGTCAAAAGAATATTTTCTTCTCCCATATTGTTACAAAAGACTGAATGTTTAATACTTCAAACGTATCTCAACATCTTGAAAACAGCTCTGAAAATCTAAGCAGCCGAGATCTGGAACTTTGATCAATTACAATGACCTAACATCTAGTGATGGGGTTTAGAACGGTGTTGACTGCAGCTCTTATTAAAGCAGAAGCAAGTAAATTGAAGTGAAAATGTATTGTGCATGTACAGCTGGTGAAAAAAAGGAAATCAAATCTTTGAAGTCGTCACGAAACAGGTTCACAAGGTGGCCTGATGAAGAGTGAAAATAAATATCTAAAAAAAACTCAATTTGAATGAACATTTTGTTGAAGTTTCCTCTCAACACTTCTATGTCTTGTCTTGTGAAAGCAAGGGGGCGACAAACCTGTGTGGGAGCCTTAATAAAACCTTGCGGGCTACATACTGTCTGACAGGCATGCATGTGTTATGTGCACAGCTGTGGATTTAAGCAATGCCCTTCACTAAATCTTAACATTAGATTCTGCTCAAGAAGCAAGAAATAGATGTGGTCAAAGTTGATTGAGACAAAGTTAAATGTTTTCTGACCAGCACATCATGCAGTTAAAGCTCAATGATATCAAGAACTGCTTTTCCAGGTTGTTGAATCTTCAGGACAGTGCACATCTGGAAAAACACAGTCACAGTGGTCGATAGATACTTGTCTTGCTGGACCAGGTTCATCCTTCGACTCAATGACTTACACCACGTAGAATCTATCTACTCTTGATACCAACAAGGATTCAGAACTTTAACATCTCTTAAGCTCCAGTCTGTATTGATAGAAATCAGTTTAGCCAACCGCCTGAATAACTTCTGTGAAATTATTAGCAATGCCAATTCGGAAATAATGTAATAACTTGATTCACATTTAAAAACTTTACTGACACCAGCAATAGGAGGATCTATCAGTCCATTTACTTCCCCACATTATTCAAATTGATCATTTCCTCATCCGAGTCAAATTAGCTCAAGTCCCACTCACCCAACCTCCAATACAGCAATGACTAGTCTGGCGTGTAATTTTCTTTAACCAAAAGAGAAAAGAAAAAAAGACAGGCTGAACAAACACTAAATTACTCATGATACAAACACATAAAAAACAGTTTTCCAAGTTAAGGAAGTGGCAGACTCGGTTCACCGATGTGTTGCCTCCATCGTTTCCATTTTCCAGTCTGCACAATTGAGGCCACAAAATACTGGCAGTGTAATAAAGTTTTGATGTGATTTTCTTTTTAGATTTACTGGGGGAAAAGGCCAACAATTTAGAAAACCGCACGTACAAATATGAAAAAAAATAAAAAGGCTTGATGCACACAGGCTTCAGGTACCCAGTGAAAACAGTGATCTGGCAATATATTATCCATTTACTATCTAATGTCACATCAAAAAGAGAAAAAGGGGAAGCCAAATTATCAGATGTTCAGTATAGCAATAAATGAAAGACCAGCTCATAATTATTACAGGATACAGGTAAAATGGATTGACGTTCTTAGGAGGAATTGTAGGATATGAAGATAAAACATTTCAATGAGTAAATGTAAAACAAAGGACCTTTAAAATAAGAATCCAGTGATATTAAAAGAACATATTCCAGTTCAACAAAAAAAAAAAAAAGCTTAGATACCTCAAAGTGGCAGAAATGACAAAAAACAATATTTCATAAACCATACACTATGAAATGTTTCAAGATAAGATTGATCAACATTGACAAGCAAGTCTGTGCAAAACTAAACTGCTGGTTGTGGGCCACATTTAACCTTAACCTGCGCCAAATTCAGTAAAAACAATTGTCTTTTAAAAAATAAGTTGTGGATGGCACTCAAGTATTGCACAAATATCAGCTATCTTTTCCTTTGACAACCCAAATATTCAATGGTTACCATTTGAGCCATGAATTAAATCGTTCGCTTAAAGTTGCAGTGATTAAAGCTTTGGAATAACTTAAGCAATGTATCAACACAAGCAGAAAGGCACGGTCGGTTTAAATCATCCCCTCAGAGTTGTTTTTTTAGGTCAAAGTGGTTGGTGATGACAAGAGGTGGCTCACAAGACAGCAAGCTATCCCACTTTGCTTGGAATGGTTCTTTGACCCAAGAGATATTGGTTCATCAAGTTACTAGATTAAGATCTCATTTCCAGCTCGACTCGGCTAAGATGGATAGCTATCTGGTGTGGGTGGGACTGCCCACCCGGTCTATCCAGTCAGGTGACCAACCAGTCCGGGGTGCAGGGTTTGTTTGAGGACATCGGGCCTGTGAAGTGGGGGCATGTAGAGTGTGGGTGGAGGCGCTCCAGGGTAGTTGGACGTTGGGTAGCCTTGGCCGGGGATGGGGGAAGGTGCCATGTTGAGTGGAGAAGGACTTTGTTCAAAGTACTGGCCATCATTCTCCTCATCCAGCGGCAAGGCCAGGCGCTTTCCTTTCTGCCTCCTGTTGCAGAACCAAACACGCACCACCTGCCGAGAGTGAAATGATGATTGAAGAACCTGCTACAGAGCACTTGGTGGAAAGAAACAACTATCTGGGTCGCTTACGTCTCTTTCCAGGCCCAGGTCATCGGAGATGTGCGTGATCTCTTGCGTATTTGGCTTGGGACACTTGATAAAGTAGGACTCCAGAGCAGAGCGCACCGCTCCTTCCAGACTAGTCCTCCGCTTCCTCTTTCTAGTGTCAACAAAAACCCGCTCAATCTTGTACATCTAAAAGAGCACAGATATATTAGAAAGGTTTCTAACCATCAAGAACACTACATTGGTGATGTTTGGTGGTCCTGTGTCCATAACTCTACCACATACACGTACACATAACAGAAAGTCAGGATGAAAGTAGGCCACTAGGTGTTTTTTTTTTTTTACAAGAGCAGATGGCCTCATTCAGGTTTGCTCAGCAGGAAGTAGAGCCACTGCATGCTGGTGAAGACCAGTACCATCAAGTTTCATCTGTTGTGTTGCAAAGTAGATGGCAGATGTTACACACTTACGTCTTGAGGATTTTCCGAAGTCTCTGCCTCGTCGAGCCACCTTTGCAGAAGGGGCTTCAGCTTGCACATGTTCTTGAAGCTCAGCTGCAGAGCCTCGAAGCGGCAGATGGTGGTCTGGCTGAACATCTTACCTGCAAGCACCAAAACATCTTATGAGGAATGTGGATGAGTTAGCCCTCAGTTAAGGGGGAAAAGGAGCCCTTTAGAGGTTTTGGTGGTCAATTTGAAGAAAGATACCAAGTGTTTATATTATTAAAGCAGAAACTGCCAGTCCTTTAGGCTGCAGTGTGTAAAATATCTACTCGGAATCATGTCCAACACAACGACATGGTGACCTACCATATAAGTTACCTAGGGCAAGGCCAACATCTGCCTGGGTGAAGCCCAAAGTTATCCTTTTGTGTTTCAGTTCCTTAGCAAACTGCTCCAGTTCCTCTGTAGAGAGGTTCTCCTGTGGACCAGCAACATTCAAATAAAACACGGAGCACTCAGGGGGGTTATTTTTCAGAACCAGTTGGAAAACTAATGGATTCCCAACTTTAGAACATCTATGTTTCACACAACCAAAACCTAGTGGCCCCTTACCTCCTCAGAATCGCTGCAGCCTCCGCTGGAGGAGCCCGTGCTCCGCGTGGAGGAGGTCTGGTTCTGCGTTTGGGGCTCGCTGGTGGACTGGCTCGTATTCACGCCGAAAAACGCACTACCTGGACCCCCGTTGCCCGGGGGCGAAGGAGACATGGACGGGGAAGATGCCAGAGAGGCAGAGGGATTCTGACCGTTGTTGGGCTGAGGGGGAATGTGGGTGATCCCGGGCCAGAAGGACGGGTTCCAGGCTGCGGAGTAGAAGACGCCGTGGGGCATGGCCGCGGAGGCTGGCTGGGTCTGGTATTGCTGAATCTTGGTCTCCGTTGAGTAGTCGTCACCGGTGTCCTTCTCAGTTTTGATTTCGGGCAACTTGATCTGCTCCCGAGTCTCGGCGATGGGGGGGCTCAGGTTTGAGGGCTGGGCTGCTGCCGTTACGCCGGGTACCTGGCCGGTGTACTCGGGCGCAGCGAAGGGATACCAATGCTTTGGTTGCCCAAAGTCTCCAGCCTGCAGATCGGATCCCCTGAAATCCCCGGCACCGGGTGGGAATGGGAAAAAGCTCTGAGCTGACGATGAGGCGATTCCACCATACGCGCTTTTGTTGTACAGCAGGCTGGGATCCGCAAAAACGCCATGGGTGAGCTGGAACGACGACCCGTTGCCCAAGCTTTCTTGATCCAAAACTTGGCCGCAAGGGTTCACCCGGCTGTAATCATAAGGCCGGCTTTGGCACTCCGGACTTTGGGATCTTTCAGACATCCTTCCAAAGGATGTGGAACCCGTAGGCGCACCTATGTAGACTTTCCGATTTTTCAAAAGAGGTGATGGGGGTTTTTAAGCAAATTCAGATTCCAGCATTCAGATTCCAACTGGGACTGAATACTTAAAGAGGTCAAAATGAAAATAAAAAGCCTTGAAGTAAAAGCGCAAACCAGAAGGCCTCAGGTGCGGTATTGGTGCAACCACACGGCCTACTCCATGAAATCCAGCAGCAGCCCTCAAACACACCTCCAAACTCAAATGCTCATCCCGTGCGCGGCCTCCGCAGCTTTTCCCAATCACCGCGGCGGCTGCTGGAGGCTGGCCCGGCTCTGCGCTCATTGGCTGGCGCACACAATTGCGCACAGCTGATAGCGAATTTGTGAATGACCTTGATTCTTCCCACAGCGATGGGCGTGTCTTCAATTACATTTAAAACTGTTTTTTTTTTTATTCAACAGGCTTTCTATATTTTCGTGCATTTAGCCTAGATTTAGTTAAGTATTCTGTTAAAAAAAACAACATATGAAGACATATTGCAAATGTAAAATAGGCACGGGCCACTTTTGTAAATCCATATATGAGCACTCTCAGTTCCTCGCCCCGCTCATTAATTATAAAGCTGCGTTTGTTTTAACGATTCTTCTTTAAAGAGTTGTCTTTGATATTAAAATACTGATAGCTGAGGCATCAGCTTGGCCGGAGGTCCGTGCGTTAAAAAACACAGCATTGCAAATTCAGAATACGAATCAAACTAATTTACTTAATCAGACAACATCTCAAAAGAGAGAGACGAGGGTTTGCTTAATGGATTTAAGAATGCTTTGGGGAAAGAAGCTGCCATTGCCATTTGAAAAGCAATGCAAGCTGGTTTGGCCACAGCCAACAAAGTAAAATGCATCGCTGGAAATGGACCTGTTGTGGTGACCTTATTTTTCTGATAGGAGAGGAGAAAAAGCTCAAGATGGTGAAACCCCTTTTCTAGATTATGTGGTTATCTGAGTGTCTCTAACATGGCTTCTCTTCCTTAGATATTTGTCATCTTTTGCGGGATGTGTGGTGTTATTGTGCACAGCATTATCCAATATCGCCTTGGTTTCGCCCTTGTGAGGGTTTTAGGCTGCTCAGTTTCAGGTGAAGTGAGACCATTGATACGCAGGCTACTGGAAGCGTCCAGCATTCAGGTGAACGTCCCTGCTGACCCCTTGGTCGTCATTCAGAGGCCCTGATGGCCGCGGCACCGGCGCAGATGTGCTCCCCCAGCGCGAATCGTTGGCCGCAGATTGCGGCAGGAAGACGCACTGCGGGAAGGGAGAGGGGGTGCCATTGTACCCAGTGGCCTGGGGGCACCCTGTGGATTTCAGATCCCGAGTTGCGATGGTCAGCCATTAGCTCCTTTTCACATTAGAACAATAAGACACAACCCTTTGATTCCGCCCCTCCCCGCACCCCCTCCCTCTGTCATCTGAAACAAACACCAGGCTGCAGTTTCGCTCTGCTCCTCGCCTTGGCATCCTCTCTCATGTGTCCTAAAGGTCCAAAACGGGCCTGGAAAACAACATGCCTGCAGGTGCAATAACCCAGACGCCTGGTTTGTCGCCTCATGTGAATGAGCAACTGAACCAAATTTGCCAGACCTGTAAAAACAAATCCCCTTTATTCATCCCCCATTGCTTCTTATTAAAAGGCAATTAACACCAAACACCATGAATAAATACAACCAATACATTGTAAAATGTGAAAATTCTCACTCACTAATTCTAAAAAAGGGTAATTGGGTAAATGCCGACTTATATGTGGGTTTACTGTCATTTAACAATCTTTATACTCAACCTTATGAAATCAGATGCAGCCATTCAAAAAAAAAAAAAGGACTCAGTACTCAGGGCTAAAGAACCTTGGAGACCACAAGAGCCTGGTCAATGGCTTAGAAGACATCACACTCAGCCATACAAGCATTGTCCTGGCCCATGGACTTGGGAGAATAATTGTCATGCAAAAGACAAACAGCAAGAGAGATAGCAGACTTCAGGCCAAGCTTGTGAGAAAAGGAGACAACAGAGCACAGAGCTCTCAGGGAGTCCTGAGGAAGGGGGAGGGGGGTCCGTGTTGAATAGATCAGTACAGTGAGGAGGAGATGTGTTAGGGGAGGATTTAGTGGAAAACCCCCACAGATGTCTCAGATCTTGTCTTTGGGTGTTTTTTTCTTTTTTTTGGACCTCTTCAGAGATCTTGTAGTTGCTTGAAGGACTGGTGCAGGTTCAAACAAAGACAGGGAGAAAGTGGTAGATAAAAGGAGGCCTGCTGATACAGTGGCAGGCTAGATGTGTTACATCAAATAGGAAAATGACTGATCACTGCTTTCTGAATAAAACCTGCTGCCGAACACTTTCTACATTTGGAGGGTGTGAGGTTACTGTGTGTAGTGAGATACCTCCTTAAATTAGTGCAGCAGGAATATGCAGCAACATGTTCCCCATCTCTCAGATTAGAAGGAAGAAACAGGGTCAGATTAAGCATTTGCCTATTTGATGTTTATCTCACTCCATCTGTCGGGGTGCACTTGTCATCTCAAGAGGTGTCTTCGTAACACTATCAGTTTGGTGAGTGTTTACAGGCATTTTAACGTCGTTTGAATAAATAAAGAAAAGAAAAAAAAGGCTACCCAAGAAACCAGTTTTAAATATCATGTCGTTGCTTTGCTGAATTTATTTTCAGAAATACAAATATCACCAGACTCATTCATAAGAATTTAAACTGATAAAGTATCAACTCCAGATTCTAAAATCCGCCCCTCCTGTTGAGCAGCACAGTCATCCCCCACAAACAAGTCTGATGGCTTTTTGATTTTCCTCCTAACGATCGTGCCTTTGACACCCACCTTCACAGGCCCTCCACCCACCCAGGTTGTCCTCCTTGGGCCAATGGTGGGCTTCTCTCCACTGTCCATCAGCACAAAGGCTTTTAACGGCCCTCGGCATACGGCTCAATGAGGACAGGCGACCCATCCCCTCCCCAACACACACGGACAAACAGCCTAACCTTCACCAACAGGAGGTACATATGAGGTTCCCTATAGCTGGCATCAATCTTTTCATATACATTCTGATCCCATTCCAGTGTCTATGATTTAAAAAAGAGAGAGGCATAAAACACATAATGACACACACCTGATGTTAGATGTAATGGGTGTTTTTTTCATTTTTCTTTCTGGTTCAATCAAATGATTTTGTTAAATTAAGTCCCAATAGAGTTAACTATAAAACCAAGACTTATCTTGACCCAGGTTTGTAGCTTTGAGACAATTAGACTTCTTTATTCGACTCACTTATAAAGTTTCTGTTAAGTCTTTTTAGCTGGAATCTAGTCCAACCTTTACTGAGTGTGAAGTAGGATGCATCCAGAATGAGTGACCAGTTGAATCAATACTTATGACCTTATGTCCTTATTGTTATAGGTTTTGGAAAGAGAAAAAAACCTTCATATTTTGAGACAGTAGTGTTTTTTTTAAATGATGTGTGTAAACTACTCAAATAAATAAAAAAGTACTGTAAATACTGATTTTGAATGACTGAAAGTGGGCCGACACAAATTTTCATATTCTAAAGTTCAGAAAACACCATTGATTAAATATATCAACAGTCTTGTTCACTTTGTTCCCCATCACGTTCAAATATATTCAAGAAGAAAATAAAAGGTAAATCAAGCAAATCAAAGTTCAATAGATATTTTACGTCTCAGATAAGTGGAGCAACAAAATGACTGGCCACGGTTTATTTTCCTCATGTGGTAAAAAGTTTTAATTCCAATCTTTAGTCTGCATGTACAAATATCTATACAAAGTGAAAACTATCACTCTATTTCTGTACATTCTGCAGCACAAGATTAGCCTTGAACCAATAGCAGGACAGCGAAGAAAGAAGGAGAGTACAGGATAATGACAGATACCACCGAAAGACCATCCATATAGCTTATAGTCACCAAAATGTCCCTCTGGTGCTCAGAAGTCACTTTTACTGTATAGTCCTCCTGTAGCAACAGGATGGATACACACGGCAAGATGAATGATTCATCAAATCTTTACCATGATTTAAGCACAGGCCAGTCAAACCATGCAACACACATCATTGAGTACTTCGTTTTCATCTATATCAATATATATATAGTCTATCACCTTAAAATCTTTATGAGCAGCTTACATGACAGGATATAAATGCGCAAGACTAGGGATAACAATTGATTAAACGCTGTGTTGTGTTTGGGGTTATCAGAAAGGAGTCCTGATACGAGACATGTCCTGTAGATCTGTATTAAATTGTCTTTCAGATACATAACACATTCTGTATGTGGTTGCCACTTTGATAAATCCTTTGAGAGTTTATCACAATTTTTGGGAATAGCTGCAGAAATGTAGGGAGACACGGGCCAAAATGAAAGTCCAGGGCTAGAACCGAACAATTAAACATGATTTGCACCTATGACGAGTACTAACATGGCTTAAAATTAAAAAGCATTAAAAGACAGAGTCGCTCCAAAAACTGTGATGGAAATAAATCAACATTAGACTCATCATACACTTGCAGTATTAAAAAGCCATAGTGGGGCGGATGTGTTTAAAGGTGGGCAAGAAAACAATCAATTTATCCCCTCATCTTCAGTTGTGATGCATGCAGTGTAAAATCTGGAGGGGTGTATTCCCTGGACATGTCCTATGTGTCACTGTATGCACGTGTACATGGTCATGTGTGTGCACATTTAAGTGTTCCGCTTTCACTTATGGTTCCCCTGAACATTTAGAGCAGAGTCATCAAACAGTGGGTTCTTCACCTCCATTTCTCCAGTCTGGGAAGAGAGAGCAAAAAATGTAAATTTCCGTCATCTAACAATCTTAAATTAGAAGTGTTGCGTCTGTGTGGGTGTCTGCTTACTGGGGCAAGTCCAGGGCACTCGTACACTGTGAAACCACTCCCCGCTTCTTCTTCATCAGATGTAACCTCACTGTCAACGGCTTTCTGTTCTGGTTTGTGACTAAAAAGAAGAAGTGAGTGGGGGAAAAAATTAAGTTGAGACAGAGAGGAAAAAGGAGGCAATAGGATGTGACCGAAACATTAAGCCATTAGAAGGTCATGGCCAAAATAAAGGTGCTGAAACAAAGAGAGTCAAAGAAAAAAAGGGCTTACTTTCCCAATGACAGCATCTGCTGCTTTTGATGTTGATAGTGATACATTTGAGCACTTTTAGCAAGAGTCTTATCTCCCACCTGGGAAGAAGGGAGAGGAGGTGTGACTGACATCTAAAACAGAGACGTGATGGAAATGCTGTTTATCTTGTGGTTGAGCAAGTTTAACACAGAAAAAAAGGTGACTCAATCACTGGCGGTTAAGATGTGCTTACCGAGGCGCTACCAGGGGCTGGATGAACGGCCGCTCCTCTGAAGGCCGGATAGTCCACCTTCTGAGTCAGATGCGATTCTCTCTGCAGCCTGTAGGGGCGATGGGGAACCTTAGACGCAATCGCACCGCTGCATTTCTATAGTGTATTTTTCTACTTCAGAACAGACACATCCGTGACTTTAAGGAGGGTTTTTGTGTCGTTTTTGTTTGTTTGGAGGAGCAGGGAGAAAAAGGGAATATTTATTGGGAAGATAGATAAATGCAGTAAATGCTTAATGCTGCTCATTGAAAAGAAAAGAATGAAGGGAAACGACTTTCGATAATCTACCAGCGGTTTAAGTGGCTTTTTAACTACTAAACCGATTTATTGGTTAATAACTTAACTGAAATACATCAAATGAATATTTAAAATGAACAAATGGACTTGGGAATGGCTGTGAACGCGCCATGTTGCTGTTATCAATACTAAAACTTACAGTTTTCCTGGAGAACGTGCTCTAAATATGCATAGTGGAACAGCATCTAGAGGTGCATGAATACATCAAATTCCTTTATGCCGCCGCATTAAAAGGATTCCTCACACCTGATTGCATCAAAACCATTTTCTTTTAAGATAAAAAAAATCCAAAAACAAAGTGTTTTCTGTTCCATCAGCTGTGTTTTTCTGTGTTCATACTCACTTTATGTAACAGATGGTAGCCAGGATCACTGCCACAGTGCCAGCCACCACACACAGCGAGATCATAACTTCAGATAGAAGAAAACAGAAAAAGTAAGTAAAACAGATTGTTCTCCTTTAAAGACAAGCTAGTCTGTGAGCGGGGAATGTGATGACTCCCTGCGAGACGCTCACAAAAAGGGGTTGTAGACATAGAAATATACTCACTGACAATGATGCCGTCATTCTTGGGTGTAGGCACAGCGATAGGACCAGCCCGGGCATCGTCTGCAGTGGACCTGGGCTCGGGGGTGGGTGTGGTAGGAAGGGTAGTGTCCGCAGGGCCCGGGGATGCAGTGCTGCTACTCTGGACTTTACTTGAAAGTCTGCCCTGGTTGCTCTGTTTGGAGGCTTTTGTCTTGCTGTCCTCATCTGTTTGTAGGGAGATGGAAGCTGGAGGAGGAGGGTGGTGGGGGGGGTGGTGACAACATATGAGGTAATAATTATAAAATGAAATATTTCATTTGCTGGAAAGGGAAAAGTGTAGTGTCAGAACTTTGAAAGAATTGAAAAAGTGTGACTGTTATACAGATGGGACCTTACCAGGATGTTTTGATTTAATTTTTGGTGTTTTAGTCTCAGAAGCCTTTTGTTTCTCTATGACAGAGTGAAGGAAATCGATCTCTTCATCCAGGTTAGAGACTGTAACTTTGCCTACGGGATAAAGAAAAACACATGTAAAGTGTAATTTCTCAATATTACACATAACAATCACTTATGGACATCTTTGGTTTGATGTGTGAGTTGGACAGGTTGTTACCAACACTTGGTTACTGCTGTAGTTCATATCAGGAGGACATTTACAAATACATTTACTTGTCGATGAATATGTTATCTGCTTTTTACTGTGCAAAATCACTTTTTAAATGTGTGTGTGGAGAGTGGATCCATCCCAGGACTTCAAGCGATGTAAACAGAGGATATGCATTATAAAGAGAGCTAATAGTGGCTGTGTCCTTTACTTTGACTAAAGGATATTTCAGTGTGATGGGTGGCTTTATTCAGGGGTCAGCCAGTTCATCTGAAAGCCTTCAGACTGTCTGTTCCACAATGGAGGATCTTTCTACTGAATACGGCCCTGAGACAGCTGCAGTAAGGGCAACTAATCAAATCACTGGGCGCCTCCTGTTTTGCAATTATAGGTAAAACGGAGCCCCCAAGAGCACATGCACAAGGTATTTAGAAATACATCCATGACTTTAGAAGTTTCCTCTGAAGTGTCAGACAGGGAGTGTGCCCTTGTGTTTTGTTTGTTTGGGGAACTGGTAAAAAGGTAGACAATGCTAAACTGTTGTTAAGAGTCCTTTAGGCCAGACAGCGAGCCACATTCCTGCGGGGCTGCCGAGGGCTCCAGGGCGACCAGCGCAGATAGTGTGTGTGTGGCCAGGGGAAGAAGCACCGCGGGGGGCAGGAGCAATCAGCCAGGCCTCGGCCTCACCGGGCTTCTCCCGCTACTTCACAATAGATCCCAAAGCCCACCGTTAATGGAGGTGATCAAAGAGTTATTTCCCCTCTATAAAGTTTCCCTGCAATATATCACACATAAAGTCATAGAGCACATAAACCTGCTGAGTGTGAAGCAAAAGAACTGGATCACGCAAAAGGACAAACTGTAACTGAATAGCAAAACAAAAAAAAGAAGAAGAAAGAAAGAAAGAAAGGGGTAAGACGCCACTGGCTCATAAATCATCAATTCAACGTCCCGAGCATCAACATCAGCGTTGCAACCACGGCCGCGTGAGCAGCTGCACCAGCTCCACCTAAACAAATGTGTTGTGTGGTCCACCTACATTATACCGAAGATTACAGTGTCACTTTCAGTCCAGAAGGCTGGCCATCTGGCTGAGCTAATGTGTATGATAAGACATGCCAGCACTTTCACTGACTGTTTTGTTATTTTCTTACCCCCCTCCACTAATGACCATTTAGTGCACTCCATAGCAGGTGTCTGTGGAGGCGGGATGCACCAGCTGTACTTTGCAGGTGGTTCAGAGCACCAACTGTTCTTGTGTCCTCGCCAGGACTGTGTGGTAGGACAGGTTTGAATATTAAAAGACACGGCAACATGGTGGACTTGCTGCAGTTCGTCAAACGTGGCAGAAATTCAGGCCGAAAAAGTCGGCACTCCACCTATAATGGTGGTTCCTGTGTGTCTATGTGTGGATTGTCACACACTCACTAAGCATGCACACCTCTACTCGTATAAGACTTTTGTCACCGTCTTGATAATGACCCATAACCTCTTGAGAGCACCCAGGGGGCAGCTGGGTACAACAAACAGATACTAAACATCTCACAGGGTTTGTGGGTCACACACATGTGCGCTGTTGTCTTTTCCCACTTAAAAACCATTCACATTTCTTCCACCCCCAAACAACACACATTCACACACTTCCTTCCCACCTCTTCAAGTAAAACAAGAACATGCAAGAGTGATGGATGAGATTCTCTTTGCAACTTGCTGGCCAACAGTTGTGTGCACCAGGGAAAGGGTCTCTCCAGAGTGAGTACCTCAGCAGTGTTGGTGGTTATACTTAATGTGATCATCTGTTTGATATGAAGCCTTATCATTTCTGATCAAAAGCATTTTTAATGAAGTGGCAAACAACAGTTTATGGAATCATAAGTCATTTTAAAAATAAAACTCAGGCATTGCTCTCTCCACCAACAACCACAAATGTAACAAACTAAAATAACCATGTAAACAACTGATATGATCGTAGTCAACTCAAACTATAAAGCAGTTTTTGCCATATCATCGCACTGAAGAAGTATGAGAAGCTGGGGTCACTGTTATATAACAAACATGCTTTGCTACCATCTAGTGGTTGTAAGGAGGTTGTGCTCTTTGTAGTGTTGGGAAGAGACAATGGAACAATAAGGGGAAAAAAGCCATAGTTTATCAAAACTTGATATTCAATTTCAAAATGTACTCAAGTTCAAGTCACACTCTATTGAATTCTCAAGTTGGCTAAATATTGTACAATAGAATTCGGACACCGTCTGATCGATAAAGTAAGTCACAGCTGATGGCTCAGTTTTGAATTGGTACATAAAATCTATCCATTCTGAGTCAGTAAACAGCAACACCAACCCTCACCCACACTCTTAGAACTCAAGTTATCAGGTTCAAATCTTCAGATTCACTTGAAATTTTATTAATTGATATTATATTGAATTTTCTTTTTGTTTTTCATTTAATTTTTCACTTGATAAAAACAAGCAATTTCTTATTTCTGTTGTCAGGAGGTGCTGATATGATGAAATTAGGAAAATCTTTTGAAAGTAAACATTAAACTCAGCTAACAGGGGTATGCACCAAATGTTAGAGTGGAGATAACTCACTAACTAGTAATTGGTGTAAATGTTTTAATTCATGTTCGTGTCACATCAGCGATCCAACATCAACAGAAGAGATGGCCATAGAATCCTATAAAGCCATGTGAGGGATGACATAGATAAAGGCTTTCAGGACACAAAGAAATCTGTAAACCAACCTAAAAACACTGCCCTGCCTTTAGCACATACACAGCCTGACTGTATTGTAGATTGCATTCTTTGTCCATTAGCGCTTGAAATTCAAGGACAAGGCTTTGAGGCATATTTTGTGTTTACCGATGGCAGTGAACACCTCCATGTCAAACACAGGCAGGTCCCACATAGAACGAAAGTGCTTCCTGACTTACTTGTTCACCTGCTGCGTAAAGTCAGCTATCATCACACGTAACGCTCTTCTCTTTTTTTCCAGAAAAAAAAGACAATACATAAAGTAAGCTTCATGAATAGTTCAACAAGCAAAGGGAGTGAAGAATGGAAATTTTTAAGAGAATGACAAACGGTAACTTTACTGGAATTTTTTTTTTCTTTTTTTAAACACGTACAAAAAGAACAGCCACAGTAGTCGGCCAGGTTACTAAACCGAAAGTGAGATGTTATGTGAATTTATAGAGAATATTTAGCCTTAACTACAGTTTTGTAGACAGTAAAAGTAATCTGTTTTTGTCACATCTGCCTTTTGTAGCTGGACTGTTCCATTGTGTTATTAGATGCACAAAAGCAGTATGTTACCAGAAACCTGATATAAAGATTTTTGTTCACTTCAAAGAAAATAAATTATTCAAATAGTTCATATCAATATTGTTGGTCTTTCTAAATTCATTGCAAAGATCAAGACAAAAAAAGTTAGTGCCCCTTTCGGATCACTGCGTCCTGTGGTCTCTGAGAGGTTTATATAACCAGCGCAGGGGGCTTAAAAGTCTGCATGATGTACCGGATTAAAAAATAAATAAATAAAAATAAATCACTGTCTCTCTCCCTCAAACACACACACAAGCTCACAACATAAATATGAGCAGACTGCAAAAACCCCTCGTCATATACATGACGCAACCTTTCCCTCCACTAAAACCGTACAATCCTCATCTTCCCCTATTTTGCATTTGCCAATAATTCATACCAAGTATGTGCCGCTAACCCCTATAAATCGTTAATCCACCAGATGTCCAAAATGTGCACATCAAAAGACATGAAAATGGAAGCGTTCTTGCGGACGGAGGCCAGGTTGGTCGAGTAAATGTTTTATGTCTCCTCCTCTTTCCCTACTTTCTATAGAACCTCCTTGAAAGGTGTGTTATACGTCTTTCAAATTATGTGAAAATCAGAAAATAGTATTTATTTCTGCAGCTCTGCCCTTCTAGTGATATTAGATTCAGTGATAGAGATGAAGGGCAACAGAAAGAGAGAGAAACATGTTATCTCAGTGATTAAGGATGCCAGTGCGGGGGTGATGCAGGGCGCTGAGTGTGTGTGTGTGTGTGTGTGTGTGTGTGTGTGTTTGTGTTGTAGACACAGCAGGGGCAGATTAATAAAAAAAAAAAATTACAAAAAAAAAAAAAGAAGAGGCTCAGACTGAACCATGATGTTGAGAGAAGTGGGGTGGAAAAAAGGATGGAGAAAATGACCAGAAGAATGGGGGAAAAGACATCGACACCCCTGAATAAAACATTACAATAATATGATTTTGTAAGATTAAAAACATAACCAGACTCTAGAAAACTCCTAAACTGATTGCTATTTCCTTCTCACTAAAAACTAAATACATCAAATTGACTGTTTCTTCCATAAGTTTCACTGCGAGACACCAGATGTCGACTACTGAACTGAAAACTTTTCTTACCAACACGGAGCTCGTGTGAAAATTATGACGCTAACGGGCTGTATTTGTAATTGTAGCTGGTTTGATAACTAGTCACGCAGTATCCTGCTTTGTATATCCTCTACTGGAAGCTTGGCAGATCACATTTTTCTGTATTGACTTAAGTGCAGTCAAAATGGACTTTTTTATCAGATTCATTAGTGCCAGCCTGACCTTCAAACGGGAATAACTAAAAAGTGACCCATCTTAATTTCCGTCCCATAAACTCTGTTTTCAATTATTCTTGTTTGATATCTATAGGGAAACTCAACCCAGTAGCTAGGAAACCTCACTGCCGGCTGGCTGTGTGTGGTTTAGCTGACGCAGAAACATTGGTACACAGGCAGAAATGTACACAGTCTTCTGGGTCACTTGTGTAAGCTAAAGCATAGAATGTAACGAATCATAAAAGACACTTCAGAAAGGGTGATTACGTTTGTCTTCTCATTAACCTTCGTCATACATTCATCACGGCAAAAAGCTCAAACAGTCATCGGACCGAAAAAGAAGAGTCAAATCTTTTAATGGAAAGGGACTTTACGGTGTGGAACAGAAATAAGCGAGTCAGTCTGACAAGTTTCGTCTTTTCAGTCATGAGATTTAACGCAGCTAAAGGAGGAATAGGATTTCAATTAGGTACATTTTCTTACTATACTTAAAATTGCATTTTTGAAGGATCCTGCCTCAATTTAGTTTAATTTCCTGCAGACGGAAATATATGAAAACAGAAAAAACTCAGTAATGAGCCAACATGTCACATTCTGAAATAATTACAGCATCAGTAAGCCGGACTGTACAAAATATATATAAACATCCTAATGAATATTTCTACAAGATAGTCCCTTGATTTTTCATAAGTGGTTAGAGCAACTGTCAAAGACCAGAGCAAATGTAAATTCAGGTGAAATAAAAACCAAACCAACCCGGACGATATGTTTGAGAGAACTGTATGTGAAAAGTGTTTTTTCTGCATACCGTGTTGGTGGTGCCTCTTTTTCACACACACTCCGTCCTCATTCTCCTGAAAGGGGGAGAGGCAGGGGCCGCAGGAAGAGCCAGACTGACACTGATGACGTTTCAGCTCCACACAATCTAAAGGGGGGGGGCACCTTCCATGGGCTGATGGAGAGATAAAGAGAGAGAGAGAGAGAAAAAGAGAGAGAGAGAGAGAGAGAGAGAGAAAAAAAAAGTTTAATCAGTGTCCTACACATGCTGAAGGGAGGAGTGGATCCTTATTAATGAGGTGAAATAATATTCCGATGAATGACAAAAAAAAACAATGACAAACATCGAATAAGAAATACAGTCTTTTTTGTTTGTCACAGGCGCCCCTTTATGATCAGATAAAACATCGCACTTACAGCACAGATGTAGTAAAAAAAAGCTTTACTGACAATAAGAATAGCACAATTTTTAAAAATACTCCACATTTAGAATGTTTTTTGGAAGTCCAAATCAGGTTTAACCAACAAGAAGGAAAAGAAGCAAATGAATTAGCCACAGCTGCTCGGTCTCAATCAGATTAGATCATTTTTTTGACCTGATTACCACCTGCATTACAGAGCGGAATTTGGTTAGCCACACAAACACACACAGCTGGTGAGCCACAAAGGAGGTCAGTTTGTCCACACGGGACATGTGGAGCAGTGGGGCGCAGCCGGGGCGGGTAATGAGCACAGTCAGCGGGCCGCCAAAAGGTGAGCGGCACGGCGGGGGCTGATGCTGGCACCACAGGCACCAGCCGGGTTCAGGAGAAGGTCTGGGGTCAAAGCAGGCCGAGGACATGACGACGGTAAATTCAAAAAAGAATAAATCTAAAAGGTTGTTCGGGGAGCAGTTACGTCTGATAAAACTGACTAAAGACCATCCTGTGGTATTTGGACTGTAGTTCTGGGAAAGATGTGAGTCACCGAAGGAGCATATCATCACAGAGGGGGTGTGGCGGAGATGATGGAGGTAGAGAGCACCTGCTGCTTGATTCACACGGATGGTAAACATCTAAGATCACAGGGGCACGCCCAACATCTTGAATCAGTCATGAGATCTGACAATTGACTAGTTGGGCGATTTGATGGGTTGTTGCCTCCACTGCCACCCGTTTATTTAAGCTACTTTCTGCTGTCAGCTATACCAGCAGGGCAGAGCCTAAGTTTCTCACCCTCTTAAAACTGAATCGAGATTGTTGAAGCCTGAAAAGCTTATGTGTGAATCCTGCTTTAGGTCTTACAGGTGCTTAGGATTAAAAATGTGTGAGATGAAACCTCAGAACCCAAGTTCAAAACCAAACCAAAACTAAATGCTAAACATCACCATTTAAGCAACACATCAGTCTCTATATCTGAACAAACCAGGCCAAAACTACCCCAACCCCATCCCACACACACCTTTTGTAAGCTGCTTTTTAACCAAAGATTGCATTTTTAACTGAACTACATGGTGGAGACTCGCATACCACGGACAGATGGCAGACTAAGCTACCACAACGCAGGAGAGAGATTACAGGTCAGAAGGCAGGTGACTTGGTCCTCTGCTCCTTTACACCTCTGCAGCCTCACATACTGCATCAAACAGCCGTTTGCCACTGAGCTCAGAAAAGAAAAAACCCAACAAACTTTGGCATCAAATTCAAACTTTCAACATCTTGTTTGCACCAAGAAATTAACAGTTAACACCTAAGTCCTACAGGATGTCTTTAGGGGCCGTTCATGGGCCACCTCAGTACGCAAATGAAGACCCTTTAAGGGCTCAGCTGTTTGTTCCTGGTGGAAGGCAATCACAGACTCCATTCATTAAAGGAGAATCCCATTTTTAACGCAAATGCTGATAACTTCAGATTCCTGGTGTGTGCTCCGAAGCTAGAAATACTTAATAAAGGTTAAACTTGATCTATCTCTAAAAACCTAACATGGAAACAGACACCACAACACACACATTCATTTCTGTTGTTTGGCGTTGACTGAAGAGAAGTGGGCTCTTGGGACGTTGTAGCTGGTAGTTGTACACTGATTGTGCCAAAATTGCATTGTGTTTTTAGTTTCCAATGGCAGGGGTTGTTAGACAGGACTACAGCTCCAGATTTTGAAGTAGGTATGAAATGATTGTCTCCCTTTGCTATTACTGGTTCGTACTGGTTAGGCTCTGTTAGCGTGTGCTGGTAGTCTGTGGTTGTCTATATCTTTATTTAACAGGAAACATTTACATTATAAGATTGAACCTGACAGTTCATTTCTTATCAAAAGTGCTCTTTTTCTTTTAAAACATATCTGGACTCTTGATCAATATTATTATGCAGCTGGAAAAACAACACCTCATCTGGTATTCATGTGGGAAGCTAATGTGATGAAGCCACTTGGTGGCACATGGATTCTGATAATTGCTCTCCACACAAAAGCAGCACGGGTATGTACACAAAATTGAAACTCAAACAAACATCAACCGTGTGTGTGTTTCATTGTGTATACATTACACTGGCATCAGAAGGGGAAAAGAAAACGGGTGAGAATGAAACATAAGGAGCAGCAGTTGTCTTCTCAGCATACAGTCTAATCAATTGGCCATCAGAGCTGAATACACAACCTGAGAATGATCTTTCCAAGCAGCAGTGTGGACACAAAGCTATTTACTTTGGACATTACGACACAAATTCTTTTCCGAACATAAAAAGTCACAGTACGGAGTTTCGTGTAACCGTAAATGACGCACTACTGGTTGATGGTGGCACCTTAATCCAGGAGGCAAAGTCGTACAGCACAAAGACATCCGAGTGCACAAAGACACGACACACACCGAGGCACATCGGGGCATTCGGTCTCAAATGTGACGGATGAGTGAGAACACATTATGTGACTCAGGGACTCGGAGAGCCGTCCTTGGAGAAAGTGGAAAATGACTTTACGAACCATCTGCTGCTGCTGTTGTCAGAGTGTGTGCTCAGCAGCAGCAGCTTTGCCGGGAAGAAATGAGTGTCGAGCAGAGGCACGCATTCACACTCCGCCTGGTGAACACCTACACTCTCACATCCACGCACACACACGCACAAATGAACAGTTTCATGCCGCCGCTTGAGCTCCTTCAAGCTGTTGTGCAGATACAACAACACAAATGTCACCCTCTATGTCCTCACGTTTGTGTGTGTGTGTGGTGAGAAGGGGGGGCTCAGGAAACGGGCAGGGCGAGAGGGTCCCACATTCCCATTGTGTACATTTCCTGACTTCCAGATAGCGGACAGGAAGTAAGCCAAACACTCCAAATCAAGTGGAAAGATGAAAAAGCTTCTGCTCAGTGCCCTTCACTTGATACATAACCACGGCGATTAATTCCACACGGATAGAGTGCTCGAGGGCTTCGGAATTCTGGCGTGTACATTTGTGTTGGGCTTTTCGTCTCTGCACTCATTATAATCACTCTGACATGACAGTTTACCAGAAGAAGGAAAAATAAACAGCACACATTCGGCTAGGTCAATATTGGAATCATTTGTTTTCACTTCCAACAGCTGACTAAAGACTTGCTACTGCTGGTATTCGAGCTCTCAGGTTATACATTATTTTTTTAATGTCAGAGATTTTGCAACATGGCAGATTGCCTAACATTTTTTCCTTTTTCCACTGCAGTTGATCTCTTTTATGGATTTTTGTGGAGTCTGCAAGATGATTTCAATGCATTTGACAATACAAAAAATAAATAAAAAAATTCAAAAGCATCTTTTTTCTTTTAAATGACACTAATGACCTGCTGTGGAGCAAGGACGAGACTGTTAAATAGGCCTTTCTTCAGACACAAAGATTAGAGGACCCTGTTGCATCAGCTATGATTTTCCTCTTGGATAAATGACTCTCTCCAAAGATCCTTTTAAATCTCTGAATAAGCCGACATGCTCAATCTGTCAGCCAAATTCTCCCTTGTTTTCTGAACACATGCTGCATTCAGGTTGCTTCATTTGATAAAGTTCAAGCAGACTGGCAAATCACAAATCCTGTCCCTGTGCTATTAAACCCAGGGGCACAAAAAGTCTGAGGTCATTCTGTCTGGCATTAATCTTATCATCCTGACAAATGACACCTGAAAAACGTTTAAAAAGACCAAAAACAGTCATAACTGAACATATAACATAAAAAAAATGTGAGCAACCATTTGTGTGTTTAACGCATTGTGCCTTTAAATGTGGTTGGTAAAAGATAAATAAATAATTGAAAGAAACCATGCCCTGAGGCTTACATCATTTCTGAGAAAACCTCACAAATACCTGGACCAAGTTTCGACATCCGTTTTTTTCTTTTTTTTTGTCTGCCTCTTTGTTTCCAGAACACCAGTTCAGTGCATGAGTCTCTTTCTCGGCACGGCGTGATGCAACGGAGTGGGACACGTACAGATTCGGGTGGAAAGTGGGGCATGACTCTGCACCTGTTCAGCACAGATGAGCAGGCTCCCACGAGCAGCCCCGGCACCACGGCAGTCAGGAAACATACCGGTGGTTAAGTCGGTAATGAGAGATAAAGGTTAAAAGGAAGTGAACAGTGAAAAGGTTGAAGAATTTTCCCTTTCCGTGACGGAATGCAGGCAGCCTAAGAATGAGGAGGAACGGGGCTTTGTGCCGTCCTCTGGTGACACCGTCATGCCTCGTCTGCCTGCTATCTCTCCACATCTGTCGTTTCTCCTCTCTGTTGCTGTAGCTTCTATCATGACAGACAATTATGACTGTAAGCCATCAAAAAGGAGACAATTACTAAGCTGTTATCAACAGCGGACCACCACACCCCACAGCAAAAGAAATTACGGGTGAAAGCTGTCATAGACGAGCAGTGTGCAGAGTCGTTTTCTCCTTTTTTGAACTCCGTCGTGCTTTTGTTGGTCTCCGGCTAAAACATTTATTACAATACTCCTTTACTCAACACTATTTTGTGGCTTATTTCAATTATGGTGTGTTGTAGAGGGTTTTAAGGGTTTTAAAAGCGATGATCCTGTGGCAAAGAGCCATTTAGCAGCTTTGCCTCCCAAACTTCCTGAGAAAGCTCTCTTCGGAAAATTGAACACGTGAGCAACCCGCCGACATATGGAAGCTAAAAGTCTTAGCTGAACACAAAAGAACACTCTCCTCCATCAGATATCATTATCCCCTTTCTAATTAAATTGCTGCAAACACTCATTCTCAGTTAGGATGTGGCTACACTCGTATGCAGGCAAGTGGGGAAGACAAAACTGCTGACCTGTTTTTCCTCATTCGGCAGTTCTTAAATCACAAAATTTGAGTGACACAAGGCTTTGCTAATGTAATTGAAAGAATTGGATTAGCACCAGAGGAGAGCGAGCATGTTACAGTTCAGTCGGAATGAAACTGCCACCTCTGGTTTGAACAAATGTCTGCGAGTTGAATAATTACAGTCCTTTCATTTCCTAGAGAGGTCCGGCAGTCAATAGGATCCTTTCAAATGAAGACGGCAAATGTGGGGTAAAGAATGAGACCCAGCATGTGAAATCAGACGTTTGAGGAACCATTGCAGCACTGATGCACTCATTTGTTAGATTCTCAATTTGACAAAGGCAACAGTGAGGGAGATCAATACGCCTGAAAGGCGTCCTGTGCTCGCCGTGCAATTCAAGCCCCGTGGTGGTTCACCGTCACATTAAGTCCTCCTCTGTTTCAAACACAGGCAGCGTCTAATTCGAGACCACAAAATACGAGAGATCCACTTGAAAGCAGAAGAAGCACTTATCTCTACTCTGCATTTTCTGAATTACTTCCTGGAACCACAGACTTCACATATGATTTGTCCTCGAGTAGAGGTTGAGGAAACAAAAGAAAAGAAAGAAAAAAAAACAGGCTTTAGTGTGGCTTGTTTGTTTTTTTAATCTCCTTTTATTTTCCCCTTTTTATTTTATAATTTCTTCCTCAATCAAAGCATATTTTTATTGCTATCGTTTCCTGGAGAGTTTTTTTTCCCTGTTAAACCTTAAAAACATTCATCATAATAAGCTGTAGACATTAGCTCTTCACGTCAACTTCAACCAAACTTTGAAGAACTGCAGAACTCCATATTACTCCTAAACAGAAGGGAGAATAAAAAAAAAAAAACAGATTCCCGTTTTAACTGCATAAGCGGGTGTGCGTTTGCACAGGCTACATCCAATTTCCAGTCCTACTGCTTTTATGTCGTCTGGCGGTGTGCATGTGTGGCACCACCTGACCTTTCCCCTGTTCTTAATACCCTCTACAACACAAACGACTACGTCTGCTGCTGGGTAGAAAACGGTGATTGCCAACGCTCCAGGCCAGCGTCTGTGTCTGTGTCTGTGTGTGTGTGTGTGTGTGTGTGTGTGAGGAGGTGATGGAGAGCGACATATAAGCTTTTACTCGTTAAAGCTTAACTCTGGTGGAGGAAAAGGCCGTAGGCTGGGGCTAGCATGAATAATAATCCCGCTGATGCCGTGTGGGTTTTGTGAGTAACAAAAGTGCCAACACGACAGTGATGAAGCTCTGCTCGGAAATCGAGAGGTGAAGATGTTTTTTAACATGAACATTTTTAAATGAAAACCACAAGACTGAGCAGATGATAGGAGGGTTTTTCTTTAGTTTGCAGAACAGCGCAAACTGAATGTTTAAGTCAACAGTCTGTATATTTGCCAACAAACCAGTCATGGTTTATGTAACCAATTGCTTAAATGGAAAATCTGGATAACTTCCATCCCTAAAACTCTATGTTGAGTCAAAGATTTCTGGCATATTGAAACATGACAAATGTCACAATATGTTAAAAACGTCCAAAACACGAAACTCTGCATACAGTGCATCAACACTGCATATACACCTTATAGAAACAAGTCCAGAGTTTGTTTGTTTTTTAAATATACCATTAGTTATTTCATATAGGAAGGAGCCGGAGAAAAAAAAGTGTCATCTCTACTCCTCCGTTCATTTAAAAACAGCACATGTTGACAACGGCTCCCATGCTGCCACAGGCTGTTCTGAACAAGCTGCGCTCAGATGGAACAAGTGGCATTTTGAAAAGAAAACACAGCCTTTGACTGCTGATGAGACAAAGCATATTTTTTCTTCGCAGATGGACACAAAGAAATGTGTTCCAACGGCCGTTGTATCTCTAGTCCCCCAATCCCAAAACTGTGGACCTTTCGACAAGATGGAAGAGTTATGAGGAACATAACATAATTTACAACTGATTTTTTTTATTCTAAAAGCTATTTGTCAGATTACCTCCCGTGTATATGCATCAACAATTATCTTTACACTGACATGGAATAATCAACCTGTTGTTTTCAACTTAAGTCTGCAATGTTAAAGGACTGGCTTCAATTTGTACAAAAAAAAGACCACATTTCATTTTTTCCCCACATTTGTCAGAAAACAAAAACACAGTGTCTTGCAACTTATTATTTGCCCATTCTGATACATATAACTGTCAAAAACAACCTACTCTTTTAGACTAAAGACAAAGCAGCGACGGTGTGACATGAATAAGAACTCACAAGGAAATGAAGGCAATTTTTAAAAATGTTCTTCTCTCACTCAAGCGACGTTATCGTGTACTTGTTTAACCTGTCCAAAACGACAGTCTTAACTTGTTGCCAACAAAACAAACAATAAACAACCGTTCGCAGGAACTCGGGGTTTCACGTTAAAGGCCTCCAGGCTAGAAACATTTTTTAAAATCCTCCCTAGTTGAAAAGACTCTAATTTCTGCGAGTTCGTTTGTGACAGGTGGCTCCGTACGGATGATTGAGGAGACAGACATTTACGGAATTGTTGTTGTTGTTTTGTTTTTTAAAGAAGCTGACGGTAGCAGCTGGCTTGGCCGGGATGTGTTGCTTTGAGTTTTACCTGGGAGGCTAACGCTGACAGGGACGAGACCCAGCAGAGAGGCGGCCAGCAGCAGCAACGAGGCCCGGCGCTGACGTCCGCACCGCGGGCTGGGGAGCAGCAGCATCCTGGGGTGTTCTGGCTGACGGAGGACCGGAGGCGTCAAAAAACAGGTGCCGTTGTCATTCCCCCATCACTTCGGTGTCGTCTCTCCGTTTTGTTTAGTGACGCGAGGGAGCTTCGGCGCAGTGTGCCGAAGCAATGAGCTCAGGAGGAGGTAAGACTGGGACGCCGTCTGTCCACGGACACGCAGTGCGCAGTGTAATCCGTGGCAGGGCTAAAGATAGTGGAGCTTCGGGCAGAGGAGGAGGAGGAGGGGGGCGGTGATGTGTCTGATATGCTGCTTTCAGGGTTTCCTCGTAAATCCTATTAATAATTACACCGACGTCACAGGCGTGGAAGATTTGCAAACGTGAAACGTTTGGTTTTCGCCATTGTGATAATACAGAGTAAAAAGAAAAGAAAACAAAAAAATCTATGACCAAAAAGGATTTTGAACAATCGTCATAATGTGATTTTTATGTTTAATGTCAGCCTAAGCACTATAAAAGAACAGAAGTTAAACGCCAGCTCGACTTTGGTGGAATTATAAAATGAAATGGGATTCTCTTTCCTACGATGTATGTCATATACGTTATGTCCCCCATATCTTCGAAACAGTTGTTACTGTAAAACGTCTGATTGTCACAGTTATGATGCCACAGTACCTGAAGGCAGCAGTTTACCGGAGATTAGCGGGGGAACGGCGCAGAAGGTGCGTCTGACGTCACGGCGTGGAAAAACTGGTTGAATACCATGATGTAAAATTTAGTTCAGAATATACAGTCTGATAAGAACACCTACGAAGGATATATTCGATCAATTGATATATTCATTTATTGATTTGATAGTTTCTTCAAATGGACTAAGGATACGTTGATACAGGAAGGGGAGAGAGAAAAAAGACAAGACACATAAAGAAACCTACAAATATGTCTTGCAGTCATTCAACATTTATGATGCTGATATCCAGAATTAACCACGCTCAGAAAAAACTCAGATTCACTCAAAATTGTATGTCCCACAGTTATTGGGCCATAACACCACTATCATAGAAGCAAATCTCTGTGTAATCCCAGCGTTTGCCATGTGGTAGGCAAATGCCTCTTAAACCACGTCGACTCCCAATATGACTGACAAAAAACAATATTTTGTTAAGGTGTCAAGCAAAGCCAATGAAGATCTGTACAGATTGGCTGTTTGACGTGTTGTGTGGCTGTAGTAATGACATAATTACTGATCACACAAGAACCTCAAATGCCATACTCAAATGCCACAGTTATTCTTAGTGTGTGCATACTGCCTGAAATTGGGTACAGGTCCTACACTTTATGGGAAACTGAGTAAAAATGTTGAAACAAATATATAATCCCAGTCATCTTTCTGCCTGATAAACACAGTTTAAACTATTACAAACTGTATTGATCTAATTGTTTTAGAAATATGAAATCTCCCTCAACAAAGTGGAATATATCTCTAGAACTTGTTTTGTGTTTCGCTTGGGGAAATTTCTTTATTTTTGAAAGAGTTGAAAATCAATTGTTGAGTCATTTGACATGTGGTCGGAAGCTTTGTCATTTTTCTCACCAGCATCACCATTGTTCTTAATAATGTTATTCTAAATGTCATCCCAGTCATTGTTGTACTCGTCTGTGGTGGTTTTTACAATCTGGCACAAAATCTTGTAAGATCTGTCTCATGTCATCTTCACTGAACTGCAAAATGTCCTTTGTATTTAAACACCAAACTACCCCTGGAGCAGATGGGATATTTTTGCAATTCAATTGGATTTTTTTCCACACCAATTACAGTTGCTGCCAAAATATATCCAAGTTGAAAAATTTCATACAAATGTTTCTCAAACAGCCATGACAGTCCAGAAAAGCCTCAAATACAGAAATAAAACAGGGAAAGAGGTGGAAATTAGAATTTATTGACCATTCAGACACAGCACACATTCTAGAGGCTGTGAAAATGTCATGCATCACTTTTGGCACTTTTTAGCTGATTGGTCGTGAACTCAAACAACAGTTGAACAGATTAATAAATAAAAAAATCAATACAACGATTCTATTTCTTCTCCACTATCTTTTTTTATGTTGCTTGCTACACTAACAGTAATGTACATAGTCCTGAGGTATAAGAGTTGGCAAAGCCTAATGCTAAGGCCTAAGAAAATAATTAACATCTTGGATTAGGTAAGATCAGCAGCATGAGGTGTTCTCACACTGATTACGGGTTTCCTCACGCTGCAGAGGAAAAACTATTTAAGAGAATGAAAACAGTAGATAAGAAATATATGATTAAAGAGTAATGCCTTTTGAGCAACTGCACAAAGGTAGTGTTATGTACACAATAATGCCAGAATAAGGGTTTAGACTGTGTCAGAGACAACTTTATAGCAGGCATATTTTAGTCTTTAACACAAACAAGAACCCAAAATGCATCAAATACAGAGTTTAATAACTTCGACCTGCCTTTCCAGCGAGTTACCACTTTTATGATGACGCAGAACCTTGTGGCTCATCAGAAAACGTAAATGCAACCTATCCCTGGTGTTGTGATCTAAAAGTGTCTTAATAAGTCTGTTTAAGACTTAAACACTCATTTAGTCTTTTTAAGCATGGAGAAAATCAAGTAGTTTCCCAATTGGAGGGAGCATGTGGATGTAAATAACTGATTTTTTCAGATTCAGTGGTAACAAATGTAAAGAACAGGCTTTCATGGTGGTTTCTGTTTGAATCTGCCATGAATGATCAAACCAGCATGTCAAAGTGCAAAGCAGCAGCTGGGACTACAAATGGTGGACGCTGCATACAGAAGAAGAGGAGTCGATGTAATCTGATTAGCAAAAACATAAAAAGTTTTAAGACATTGTGATTAATTACAGTTACAATTGTTATTCGTACATATAGAAAGCTGCGTGAACCTAACGATTCCAACCAAAATTCAAAATATTCAAATAGTCAATCCTCTCAGTTTTTTTTCTTTTTAAACATCCATCCATCCATCCATCCATCCATCCATTTTCAGAGCCGCTTATTCCCAAATAATGGGGTTGCGGGGGGACTGGAGCCTATCCCAGTATACAATAGGCGAGAGGCGGGGTACACCCTGGACAGTCCGCCAGTCCATCCCAGGGCCACACAGCTAACCACCATACTAACCACCGTGCTGCTTCTTTTTAAACAAACAAAAAACAAAAAAAGAAAGAAGATGCATTCTTGGGCCCTTGCACACAGACACTCACATGCTCACATTATTACAAAAAGAGAAAGAAAAATTCACAAACATTTCCTCAAATGAGAAGAATAGACTGCATTCACTCTTGAAATTCCCTGAAGTTTCTTCATGGTACAAAAAATGAACCCAGTTCACCTTCCTCCTCCGCGATCGTTTTGTAGCTGAGAAGCAGGGGCAGTTAACACCACCTACTGGCCACGCAACACACCACTCACCCCTGCTAAGTATTTGAACAGTACTCATTGAAGTAAAAAGGTGCGATCTAGATTAAGAACAAAATGCGTCTCATAAAAATGTAACCAAGTATATTTTTGCTGCCTGGTCTATGCTTTTCCTCTAAGGTGATATTACTAGTAATTCTGGACAATTAGCTCTATCATCATCATCATCATCATCACAACTCTGAAGAGTTGCACTTGTTATTACAACAGCAACTCAACCAGCCAGGTTTAAGATAAGGTGATAGCAAACTATGCTTCGTAGGGAACAGCTTTTGGCCGTTTAACCCCCCCACCCACCCACCCTAATTTGGTCTCATTAGATCCTAAACACAGAACTGAGTCTCCAATGACTGCTTCATAAATAAGGAACCATCTTTAGAGTTCACAGTCAGTACAGGGTGCGAGTGGGGCTTTCACCCTCCTGGACTCTCCTCCATCAGCTGTAAACATGCAGGCTGTGTGAGTTGGGGCTCTATTAACAGTCGGGCAGTGAGGGGGCTCTGAGGCACATGCCACTCAGAAACTGACAAAGAACCAGTGTTGGGACACGTGCCTGTTTTGAGATCTACAGCAGTCACGGATTAGCTTCTGGTCCGATGTCAGAGTTTTGGGTTTTAAACGAGTCTGCTGAACATGGCTCTGTTCTGTCTTTCTCTGTTTCTTGGGTGCAGACCTGCTGCTTTTCGCTGAGGTCTCCTTCTCTCTCTTCTTTGAGAAGGGCCTCTCCATCATCCAAGACAAACTCCAGGGTGGGCCTTCCAGATGCTTCTGGCTCCAGGCTGCCCTCCTCTGTGAGGCGGAGTTTTATGTTCAGGCTGACAGGTTTTTCTGCTTTATCTGGAAAAGGAAGGCAGGCAGTGGAAGACGAGAATATATGCATCAGAGGAAATGAAACCCTACCACACAAAAAACATTGAGGGTTACATTGACGATCATTGTAAAGTTTCAGTGCAAATATCATATCAATCTCACTTCATTTAGTGTCATGTAACTAGCGGTTGTTTAATCTACAATTAAATTACAGGGATAATCTTTTTTCTTCCATCTCCCCTCACCCTGTCCAAGCTGTCTCTCCTTGGCCAGCAGCAGCACATCCACGTTGTGATGCTCCTCCAGGGCGGCTGTGAGTACGGCGCCCTCACGACTGAACAGGAAGACCAAAGGCAAGGTGATGTCTTCAGTTGCGTCGCCATCTCCGACCATTTGGAAGAGGGGTGTTTCCTTACTATTACTTCCCTCACGATGGTCTGTGCAACATGAGGAGGTTCACAATTATTCAGCTTCAGTGAGGTTGAGACTACTTGAAGTCTGGCCGATCATTACCAATGAATGCACGGGAAAGTAAAGAAAAATATTCCGCTTTGCGTCGTGCGGGCCTCACCTATGAAGATGATTCCTATGGCTCCAGCTTGTTGCAGCCAGCGAGCCTTTGCAGCAAACATGCAGTCACCACGTAGTGCCAGAGCAATGCGGCCTGTCAGCTCCTCGGCGTTGTCCAAGGGCCCGCAGGCCGTGTAGGGGGAAGCTTTCACTATCCTGCCCTTAACCTGCAGCAGGAGCTCACTTTAAGGGAGTTTTTATGCTCGGGAGGACAAGGTATAAAACTACAGATGGTTAAAAAAAAAAAGACTAAAGCTGTAAACCTTGCTTTATCTCACCCCATGTTCCTGCTTGGTGAGGTCCATTCCAAACTTAGCCGGCCCTGCAGTCAGGACCGTCCTTCCGAGAAATGGAGGCGATATGAGCTGAACAACAAGAGGCACCACCAGCTCCTCTTCTGGTGTCTGGCTTAGCTCTGCAACAAGCCTCACCCGATACACTCCTTTGTGCTCCTGCAGGGATCGATATTCAGATATATGGACTCACAAGAACTAAAATCTGGGGATATTTTCTTTTAAAAGGAGTACATATATTACTAAGATTACAGTACCCACATTTTCATTTCACTGTATTTTGTTATCATGCCACGACTTATAGACCTCAAAATAAAAAAATATTATTTGTTATTTATTGATTCATTACTAATTGAAACTGACAAAACTGTACCTTCTGATTTCTGCCGATTTCAGTCAGAGGGGTGAGAGAGATGCCCATGCTTTTCAAGAACTCCACCGGTTCCAAACCACTATCATGTAGCGGTAGTTCAATTTCCCTGGAGAATTTAAACACTGGATTTAAAATCAAACGCTATTAACGAAGGAATCTAAGAAGTCTCTCAGACGTGGCCACACCTGACAGGGACTGGGTGGAAGGCTCGTCCAACCCCTGTGAGGTACTTGTAGCTGTCCCTGATGGTTTTGGCAAATGAGGGGTTATTGGGGAACAATGTCTCCGTGCTGGGACAGGAGTGGGTGAACAGATCCTCATCTTGGGAAACTGGAGCAGCCTTCAGAAGCAGAGGACACACAGGCAAATAATCAGTCAGCTGTCACATCACATTTTAGCATTTCAGCTTTAAGCCTTCACATTAACACAAAATATTTTAAAAAATGGCACAGCATTGCAGTCTATAGACATCTTTGTAACTTTAAAAAGTTCACATTGATCGAATGTTTGTATTATATGTGAAGCATGCATAAGCTCTAAAAGTGTATGCATCACATATAAGAGCTTATGCGTGACCATATATCTGAGGATCATCTGTTGGCTAACAGGGGAGCCCTTACTGTGGCATTTCCTTGACAAGGTGCCTGAGTGGTGGACAGGGACACAGGCAGTAAGTGAGCCTCTGTGGTGAAGATGTACTCATCAATATCTATTGGCAGCTGACTCTTCTCCGAAAACAGCAAGTACAGGTATTTAAACATCTCCGCCAGGAAGAACGAGTCCATCCTGTAAACACACAAACACGTGTTGAAAGCGGCGCAGAGACGTTGCTCAGCTGGTCGTAGTCTCACTCCTTTTGCTCAGATGGTCACACAGTACCTGTCCTCATGCATCCCGGTGCGGACGTCCTGCACAGCGGCAAACCCACAAGGCACCCTGGCATAGGCGTTGAGCTTTTCAACAATGGATTGTCCCACTCTGAGGTAGTATGGGTCACCAGTGGCCTGGACAGAGCACAGTCAAATCTCAGCCAAATATCTTTAACCCATATTGTGACGAAAGTCAGTACTTTGAGGCTTGTAGAAGCTTTATCTACGCAAGAAAAATGCTAGGATGTTGATCAGCTTATTCCAAAAAATAAAGTTGAACAGTTTACCTTGTAGAGGTAGTAGGTACTTTCTGCAAACTCCGGTCTCAGTAAGTGTTGGCCCCAATGAACTCTGAACTCTGTAGTGAAAGCCTGCAGGGAGGTGAATTAAGGCCACAAAACATAAGTCAGTGGAATTCGTGATGATGTGGCGTTTAACAGTACTGTTATTTGTAGAATATTGTAGCCTCGCACATGTTGAGAAACCTTATCACTTTGTTCATATCATTATCATTTGTTATAGTTGTTCAATACATTACAGGAAAAGGAAGCAGATAAAAAATACCTCTGGAAGGAACTTGTGCTGTTTAGTGACTTGGTACAGCATCTCGTGGGTCTCGATGGCTGGTTTCAGATCTCCTCTCAAAACCTACATGAGCAAAAGATTTCCCTTTAGAGAGGAGGCAGCTCGCTCGGCCTTCTGCTCCTGATTAATTGCAGTAAATGTAATTAAAGGAGAGGTTGTTTGGGCTGTAAATCTGACCTGTAATCCAGGGAAGAATGCCAGCAGAGAGTCCATCCAGCTCCGCACGCTCACAGTGGGGTTGTGCATGTGCACGTTGAGCAGCAGGGGAGGCTGGCTGATGTACTTCATGATGGCACTGTAGTGCTGTTCCACAGAGACAATATGAAAACTGCATCAGCAAAAATGGTTGCTAACTCCAAAGGGGCTGGGACACAAACACAATGACTACGTTTGTGCAGCGTAGTGGGGAGGGTTGAGTACAGCGCGGGCCCGAATAAGTAGGGATAAAGTTAACTGATGGAAGACTTACAACGTTGAACCTCTCCAGAAACACATGGTCTCCTAGAAGAATATAGGCTTTCATCAGGTACTCGTAGTATGAGTCAATCCCAGCACCGACTCCACTATCTGCAAACACATAAGGAAGAAGTCCTTTAAATAACATCAACATATCATTGTCACTGTTTTTTGAAGAGCAGACGGTGCCCTGGTTTCAATTCTGCCTTTAGACTTACACTTAGACCTTTCTCATCATTGTACAAACCCAAATAGTGAATCTGACAACAAAATGTAGTTGCTTGGCTACCAGGTACACGAGGTCTGTTACTCAGATTTGACAGTTTTACAAATGCTTGTAAGGTGTTGGAATTGTCTCACCTCTCCTGACCCATTCACCATTATGGATGTTAATGACAGTCCCCACCAAGTCGCTCCCTCTCTGTCTCCTCTCCCAGAGGACATCCAGGGCCTTTCTGGCATTTTCCTAAAAAACATAAACAAGTGAGGAATACTTTAAAAGTATTTGAGAAAAATAAACCATCTATTACAATTAAAACCTGGTTAACGTCCAATATACGATATTCTAATAATTTATCCCAGTAATTTCCGATGTGTAATATAAAAAATTAAACAAAAAAATAAGATATTTAGAAGGGGAGCATAATACCTCAAACACAGACTTTCCAGAGAGTCGGCTGAGGGCAGCGAACTCCAGGATCATTGTGCCGGCACAGGCCGTGCAGGTGTCTGATTCAGTGCCTGTGCGTGAAAGTGGGTTCAGGACGCCATACCGCAGGTTGACCTGATACACCAAAAATACAAATAAATTCATGTCATCATTTAACTCAGCTCAAAGTCATCAAGCGTCTCTTCAAAAAATTGCGAACGCTGCCTACTTTTATACCCTTTTTGTGTCAGTTGGACTGAGTTACCCTTTACTCTTCGACGTAATGAGAGTACCTTTGGGTAGGGAAGGCCACTTGTGGTGTTGAAGGCAGGAAGTAATCGATGTCCCAGCTCTATGGCCATTTGAAGGAGCTCGTCGTCATACCACTGCATCCTCTCCCCACGCTGCCGCAGCAGGTCGGCCATGACGTGGCCCCCCAAAAGCCCGCTGGGAAGACCATTGTGCACCAAACATTACACCACCATAAAGACCTTGCTATGATAAACAGCATAAAAGTAAAATCATGTCAAAGTAAGTTTCGTACCCCAAAACTCTGATGTTTGTCTCAAACACTGACACCACCACGTCGTTATCAAAGCGAACGTCCCTCACGGCTTTCCTCACCGCGTCCTCAAACTCATCCAGCTGGTTCAGCACCTGGTTGCATCACGCACCGACACACACACACACACACCGACAGACACACACACCAACACAGAAACAAAAAAATCAATAAACTGTGTGTCAAAAGAGCAAAAGATAAACAAATAAAGTCCAGTGAGACAAAATCCTCAGAACAAAGCTATACGAAATAGTATGTACTTACCACCAGGGTATCAAGGGTGTCGATTAGAGTGAGGGAAAACCTACGGAGAGAGAATCAAACAGATCGTATGACACATGAGGGCTGACATAGCACAGAGGAGCAGGTGACCCACTTTTCACATGTTCCATTTTTTATTTAAATGGAGGCGAGATAGTGCTTAAAGACTGTTTGCATTAGCATGACACTCTTCTAATTTTCTGGTACTTCAACTGTTTAATTAAACTGTGAATTATTCCTTTGAATTTCATTGATACAGATCTGGATCGTGAATGTATTTATGCATTTTCCAGAGAATGTATGAAAAATCAGAGCGTAACCTTGAATGAGTATGGTTTCAAATAGACATAAGTCAAGTTAACAGCGTGGATGAACAGTGCAGTCACTGTAACTTCACCGGAGGTTTCAAAGCTCCAGATGTAAATGTAAAAGATGAACTTACTTCCCCAGGGAGTCGTCTATGTCCCCTCTGTTGGGCTCCTCTCCACGCACCCTCCCTTTGCAGCTTAGAGGCATCAGCTCATCTGCTGGATAGGCATGTTTCTGCAACAGAAACAGCTGTTATCAGGCTTCTTGTAATTATTACATAACACTACATATGTCCTCTCTCTGCATTATCAATTGCCTACGCAAACCATCCGTTTTTTCCCTTGATTTGTTGTCACAAGCACCATGAATCAGAGAGCATTAGAGGAAAACAAATGTTAGATGTTACAGTCTTCTTACCATGTAGCTACCATAAGCGTGGTCAAACATTTCAACAATTTGGTCCCTGAAAAATAAAACAATGGGAAAATGTAAACCAGTGCATTGAAAATCAGTGGGAGACCTTACAGATCTTGTAGATATCGTACAGGAAAATAAATCGTGTTTACCTGATAACAGTTTTCTCCTCTGTGGTCATGCTCTGGCTCTCTTGACATTTTGCCCAGACAACAAAACTGATGATCAGAATGATCCTCAGCATCATCGTGGTACTAGAAGAGTCGCCAAGTTTCCAGAGAAGTTGAGTCCCGAGTCTCCTCTGGCAGGCTTGCATAAGCTTAAGCGTTTTTAGGGGCAAAAAGTATCCTGCTGTTTGTCCAACGCCCACACAAAGTCAAACAGCCCAGCTGATCCAGCTGTCCTCCTTTAAATCCCAGCTCGTCCACATTTTAGTAGATAAATGTCACCTTTTCGGTTACGTCCCGATTTCCATATTTTCTTATTGTTCCGGGGGTGGGGGGGTTATACAGTCATACTATAGGACCCCTCATGAAAACAAAGCAAGTCAGATGGAGGATTGCATGTAAACAAAGGAGGGAGCGGTTTGTGGCAGAGCATCTGTCTGTCTGACGTTTTGACCGCGAAGTCAGCTGGAGGGAAACGTGCTAGTGAAGAGATAAGGGAAGCTCGGAATGAATTACCAAAGAAGACGGAATTGAGAGACAGCTCGCGGCGTCCGGGGAGGATCCCTGTTGCTAACCCGCCGCCGTCGCCTGGTCGTCGTCAGCTATGCTAAAAAACATAGCTAACCAATTTCTCATCAAAACAGATACAGTAGGTTTTGGGCGAAACTAAATCCCGGACTCAAGAGCAGGGCTCCGCTTCCCAGCAAGAGTGTCAGAGAGGTAGATAAACGACCTAAGTAGCATGTCAAGTGCCGAGCTGTCAAAAACCTGACAGGCTACCCGGCTGCCCTGTGGCTGGGCTTGACAGATATTTTTACCCTCCGTATGTCTTTCAGGCAACCTGCTTGCCACGTCAGATGATCATACGCATGCAATTTTGTTGTTTTCCTCCAAAAAAATTATACCCTTTTCAACTATATGGACGTTTTTTCTGTAAGTAATTTGATAAAGGGTCGGCTGTGGAGCGGAAAATTGTTAACGTGACAGTTGCCAAAATCCAGACAGTGAGAAACCTTCCCTTGCAAACAAAACTGAGGGGGAACTCGGACATACCACGCATGCGTAACGAGAACCACGGTGGCAGTGGTGGGGTTGAGTTCATCACTACTTTTAATGCTGCTAGGACTTAGCTTAGCTTAGCAGAACTATTTAGCTGCTCCTTCTTAAGCCTGTTCGAAACATTCATATCAGTGCATTGTTCCCAGGTTCATATCTCATTCAACTAAAGCACATATGTCAGAGTCCAGGCCCGCGAGAAGGTTTTTTTACGGCCCCTGGGATGATTTTGATTTATTATTAAGTTATTAATTAACTTTCAGATACCCATCAAAAATGGCAAAAAGGAAGGTGGACGCTGAGAACCGGGGGTTTCAAACAAGGTGGGAGTCGCAGTATATGTTCACGGAGGTAGCTGGAAAACCTGTGTGTCTTCTGTGTGGAGAAAGTGTGGCGGTACTGAAAGAGTATAATCTGAGACGACATCATGAAACGAAACACGCGGACAAAAACAAGAATATGGACATGGAACAAAGGCTACAGAAGGCCGAGGAACTAAAACAAGGCCTCAAATCTCGACAGGCTCTGTTCAAAAAAGCCAAATCACAAGGCCAGGCTGCTGTCAAGGCCAGTTTTATTTTGGCAGAAGAGTTCGCTAAATCAGCCCGGCCATTTACGGATGGGGATTTCATCAAAAACTGTATGATTAAAGTTTGTGACGAAGTTTGCCCAGAAGAAAGGCAACTCTTTTTAAATGTGAGTCTGAGCAGAAACACCATTGCCGAGCGAGTAGTCCAGTTGTCCACCAATCTAAAAGAGCAGCTTGTGAAAAAGGGAAAAGATTTCATGGCATATTCCTTGGCTGTGCATGAGAGCACCGACATTTCTGACATTGCCCAGTTGGCCATTTTCATCCGCGGAGTGGACTCCAGCCTAAGCGTGACAGAGGAGTTTTTGGCTTTACGTCCTATGCACGGGCATGATTTGTATGAAGAGGTGTCAACATGTGTACATGAGATGGAGCTGCCCTGGGAAAAACTTGTGGGTTTGACCACCGACGGAGCCCCTGCGATGTGTGGACACTGGAGCGCACTGGTGGCGAAGATACGGGAAAAGATGCAAGAGGAAAACGCGACAGCAGAGCTGGCAGCTTACCATTGCATCACACACCAGGAAGCGTTGTTCGGTAAAGCCTTGGAAATGGAACATGTAATGAGCATCATCACGTGCGCAGTTAACTTCATCAGAGCCAAAGGTTCAAATCACCGCCAGTTCAAGGCATTTCTGACCGAGTTAGAAACGGAGCATGGTGATTTGCCTCATCGCACAGAGGTGCGGTGGCTAAGCCAGGGAAAGGTGCTCCAGAGATGTTTCGAGCTCCGTGAGGAGATTCGTCTGTTCTTGGACAGCAAAGGGAAAGACACAACACAACTCCGAGACGAGATGTTTCTGTGTGAAGTGGCTTTTCTGTGTGACATTACGAGTCATCTGAACGCCATGAACTTGCAGCTGCGGGGTCGGGATCGTGTCATCTCTGACATGTACACTACAGTGAAGGCATTTAAAGCCAAACTGACTCTGTGCGAGACGCAGATGCGGAAGGAAAACTTGAGCCACTTCCCCAGCTGCCAAACCATGAAGGAGAAGCTCTCTACCAGTGCGTTCCCGAGCGCACAGTTTGCTGACAAAATAGCCATGCTCGCCGCTGACTTTCGAGACCGATTTGCTGACTTTGAAGCACACAAAAAAAGGTTTGAACTGCTCGGTAATCCATTTGCTGTTGACGTGGAAAGCTCACCACCAAACCTCCAAATGGAGTTGATTGACCTCCAATGCAACGATGCACTGAGGGCGAAATATGCGGCAGTGGGTGCTGCGGAGTTTGCCCGTTTCCTCCCGGACACAATGCCCCAGCTGCGCATCCAGGCCGCCCAGACGTTGTCTATGTTTGGCAGCACATACCTGTGTGAACAACTGTTTTCTTCGATGAACCTGATCAAAACATCACACAGAAGTCGACTTACTGCTGAACACCTTCACTCAATTCTGAGGATTTCCTCGGCTCAGAGCCTCACCCCGAACATCGATGAACTTGTGGAAAAGATGGGACACCACCAAGTATCATCCTCAACCTCAAACATGTGAACATTACTGTGCAGTCACACATTTAGAGTTTTTACTCAGTTCAAGTTTAAAAGTTCAAGTTTAATATTTGTTTTCACTGCATGTTACTTCTCCTTGAGGAAAGTGTTGTTTTTGATTAATAGATTTTTGCACTCTATTTTATTGTATTTCAATCCAATTATATTTTACAAATATTTCTGTTTAGTGGATGATAGAAAATTGCTATTATTTTTTTCTTTGAAGTAAATTTAGCCTACTTTTGCTAAAATAGAAAATGTAGGCTACTGATGGTGTCTTGAATAATACAGGTTTCTTTCATTTAATGTTCATGTTATGGGGATTTTTATATTTCAATGAACATTCGATCAGTCCGGCCCTCGGCTTGTAGCTACATTTTTTATTTGGCCCTCCGTCCATTTGACTTTGACACCCCTGAACTAAAGGGATTCAAATATAAACGACTGAATAGACGTGATACAATAAAAATAAATATATAAAAGAGATTGTGGGATACATTTAGGTAGCCTTTCTTTTAAAAAAACTGTCTCAACAAATCTTTAAACTCTCAGACAGACTCAAATTACATATTATTCCAGGAAAACAAAAGAGGTCCATTCCCCCTAAAAGTCGACTCGTCTGTAATGTCAAGAGTTTGCCACAAGAGGCCGCTGTTGCTCCCTGTCCACATCTGGATTTGATGTATTTGAGTGTTCAGATCTGGCTTTTGAGATACTTTGGAAATGGTCTGGCAATCTGAGTTCTGACTGATGGTGTCATGTTAATGTGAAATACGGGTCAACAGTTTGGACAGGCTTTCCCATTCACTTTGAATGAGTGGATGCATCCAAACTTCTAAGTGGCCAGTGTATTTGTTTGTTTGATTTTTTTCTCAATCTATGTATTTACTGTTTATTTTTTATCAATAAAAAAGATAACGTAACCATCTGATATTCTGTGGTCTGTAATGTCGTGTGGCGGTGATCATATGTCGTAATATGGAAAAAGAAACGCCATCTCATTGTCAGTGACGAAATAACGAGCTACGCTACTATGTCTCAACTCCTGTCTTCCTTCTCTCTGACTCACTCCCGTGTCCTGAAAACACACCTGTCTTTGAACCCCCCATTCAGCGGGGCTGGGGGACAAGGTGAACCCTTCAGTTTGGGGTTTAAATATGGGTGGGTACGAGGAAAACGCTAGGAATGTCCACATTAAGATGTCAGCTCCCTGCTCAGCACTACGCAGACTGCACAACTACAGTAAGGGGGGAGGAGGGGGGAGGAGGGGGGGGGTTATGATTCAACCCTCCCTCAGCTAATAAAAAGGGCGTTGCCTTTCCCAACTTCCCTGATAGGTGTGGCGTCTCTGTCTCCTTTTGAAATCCTTCATCTAACAACAAGCGTATCTTTTCAATCGGGTAAGACGAATCTATTGAGCTTTCTTATCCTTCATGTTACGCATGCGATCTTATTCTCTACGTGTAACTTTTTAAAATTTTGTTGGCCCAGAAAAAACGGCCTCAGGAACCAAAGCTTTATGCAGTTACGTCCGACCACACGCGTAAACTCGACTGTGTTGGTGTAAGATCACTGGATGGCATGTGTGTAGATATATAGAACATGTTCAGGTTTTCATTCTTCTGGATTAAAGCAGGAAAACACAAACATCATCTGAAAGGAATGCATAGTATTCTATAGGATCTCTATACTCACACAAGCTTTTGCTTCTACCCAGTTTAGATACTTGATACCACAACCATGTCTGTTTGGGTGAGTTATTCCCTGTTGTTTTTTTGGACATTCGGGTTTTAAAAGTCGTTTCACTAAAGGCATGAGGAAATCCAACTTATTTGCATATTGGTTCCTATGTATGGCAGGATGACCTGGATCTGCTCTTAGACTCTCCCTCTTCACTCACTGCAACAGTAAGTTGCTCCAAAACTTGGGTTTTGATTAGGCAGGCTATTGGAAATTGTGATGATTTCATTTAGATTGTTATCACACTTTCATTCCGACGGGTAACGATGTGGAGTTTCTGAAATATTTCAAATGAAATGCTGAGCACGCATGGAAAATATTTATGGCGTCACATGCACAATGAGATCACCTTTGTGTGTTTTTTTTATTGCTGTACCTGCACTGATGACTTCTGTTTCCTAGTCTAATACTAGAGGAACTGTAAAAGATAAGGCTGATTTCAAAGTGGAAGAAGATGTATCTGCACTGAGGAAGGCCATAGAGGGGCTCGGTAAGCTTAAGAGTTATTGTTAAATATTCATAAAGTTCTATTTGGAGGCTGTAAAATATATAATAAATACCAGCAAAACATGCAAAATACTATGATAATGCTTTACCAAATAGGCACGCGGATGCTCTGTAAAGAAAATATTATGCAAAAGACTGGATTTGTGACCGGCATGAATGACCATCAGTGTTCTGGTGCTGCCCTCTCATCAGGTACAACAGAAAAGACGCTGATTGACGTGTTGACCCAGAGAAGCAACGCCCAGCGCCAGCTCATCGCCAGAGCGTACGAGAAGGCTACGGGACGGGTAAACAAACGGACCCGCCGGCCGCTCCTTTGCTGCGGACAGAGACCAAAGCCAGAGTCCTTTCCTCCCTCCGTTTAGACTTTAGTGGCCGACCTGGAGGGCGACACCCACGGGGACTTCGAGGACCTGCTGGTGGCCTTGGTCACTCCTCCCGCCGTCTACGACTGCCACGAGGTCATCAAGGCCATGAAGGTGGGGCTCGTCTCAGCCCGTGTGCCCAATGTATGAATTCAGTCCGCTACATTGTCGTAAAACGCTCCCCATGCAGGGCCCAGGGACCACGGAGAGCACCCTGACAGAAATATTTGCTTCCAGATCCAACCGGCAGATAAAGGCCATGTCGGATGTTTACCTGGAAGGTGAGGTGAACGCCGGCAGCTGCACGGCTTCTGCAAAAAACCGAAGGCGCTGGGAAAATCTCCCCCGTGCTGCGACGGGTGAAATGTAATGCAAATTCTCTTTTCTTTTTTTTTTTTGTTCCTCAAAGAAACGGGGAGACTGATGATTCATGATCTGAAGTCCGAGGTGGGCGGGGATTACGGCAAAGCGCTGCTCATCCTGGCTGAGGTACAGATGGAGCCCTCCGCCTCCTCGTTGGCAGGGAGCGGCGTACATTCCAAAAGATATCTACAAAAAATGCAGTTTCCAAACACCTTTTTATGAATACAAATAGTTGACATACTTGAAATTCCCCCCCAAATTGGTTCAGTGTTGTCTTATGTGAGCTTTAAGAAGCATTGGAAGAAAACTGGATGCAAAGAAAAAACTTCTTTAAAATCTTTTATGTCAATATCTCTATTCCTGTGTAGTTATTTGCTTAGCTTTAGATTTTAATCGTTGAGGACACTGAATGAATTTCTGGACAAAAGCCAAACAGGACTTCATTCATTGCATGACCAATGGTTTCCCTCCACTCCTCCGTCACAGGGGAAGAGAGACGAGAGCACCAATGTGGACAATGCCAAAGCTAAAGCTGATGCCAAGGTATGCTCGCCACGTTTGGATGACTTATTATGAGGCTGAAAAGTAACTGTGTAATCATTGACCGCCGTACAATACAGCCGTAAGGTCCTTTTTTGTTTTTGTCTGTAGAGGCTTTATAAATACAGCAGTAGTCGGTAGATTCTCAGGCAGCCGCACGTCGAACAGAACACATTCCTCCCTGTTCTTAACATACCTGCTAAAGTGGGTAAAGCCTCTATCTTTTCTGTTTGTGCTCAATGAACACAGGCGCTGTATGAAGCTGGAGAGAAGAAGTGGGGAACTGACGAGGAGAAGTTTATAGACATACTGTGCAGCAGGAGTATTCCCCAGCTTCGGCAAAGTGTGTAAAACTCTGCGATACACTCTGTTTCTCTGTTTTGTGTCAGAATGTAATCGGAGTAATTCGATGTAATTGTGCAACTGTGTCAATGGTGTTCAGTATTTTAATGATTCTTGCTGAAGGCACCAGTGATTGCAAGAACTTTCAGGGGATTCATTTTAATAGATTTAAAGATATTAAAATACCAAAGGTGGGCATCAAAGTCAAATGCATTCTTTGGAGATTGTAAAGAAAAGAATAAACTCAAATTTACTATCGAAATAAGTAAAAAATAATTCATTAAAAAACATCAAATAAGATAAAACTTTTTTCTTCTGACAGCTCTTGTAGAGTACAAGAATCTTGGCAAGAAGACCCTGCAGCAGAGCATTGAGAGTGAGATGTCTGGAGACCTGGAGAAGCTGCTGGTGGCTGTTGGTATAAAACCCGCTGCTCAACCTCAAGCTGCCCATCTCTGTTGAGTTGTATCCTCATCGTGATCAATTTAACAACATGGAACTTTTTTCTTTTCTTGTGTAGTAAAATGTGTGAAGAGCGTCCCTGCATACTTTGCTGAAAGGCTATTCAAGAGCATGAAGGCGAGTTGAACACAAGCGGCCAGCCGACAAAATCCGCACACTCTTTGGATCCATTGTGTCCCCTCCCTCACAGCAGACTAAAAAACAATCAATGCTGGTGTGGAAGGGCAGGCAGAGCCATGTTTTATTGTTGCTACATCAGCATACTTTGCATCGGTTGTAGGGCGGCAGTTGGATTTTTCTTTTTTCTAAACTCACTTTTAGTTTGGTTTATCGCACTTATTGGAGCATTTCCATGTTTGTTTTTTTACAGGGGGCAGGGACCACAGAGTCCACCCTGACCAGGATCATTGTCAGCCGCTCTGAGATCGATTTGATGGACATCAGAACGGAGTACAACAAGCTGTTTGGATGCTCTCTCTCCGCCCAGGTTGAGGTCAGTGGGCTGGAAATGATGGTTTCCCCGCTGTGAACGGTCAGAGGGGTTGAGTGCACTCTGGTACACTGTTCAGGAATTGAGTTCCCTAAATAGTTTCAAGATAACCAGTCGCTTTGGTTTTGTGTGTGGTGCTAAATTAATCGGATTTCACGCCTCTCTCTCATTGTGTTTCTGTAGTCTGAAGTTTCAGGAAGTTATGGCGACACCCTCAAACAGCTCTGTGGCAAAGATGTCTAACCCCCCCCCACACACACACACACCCCCACATGTGGCATAAGGGGCAGCTTCTTCATCCAGACCTGGTGTGGAGGACTGGGACAAGAGGCTGACCTTTTCAGAACCATTACACTGGCTTTTGGCTCAATTCACAAATGAATTGATCTAATAAAAAATATTCAATTGTGAAGAATTCTAGTATGTCCTTTAACATTTATAACAGTTATTTTTCATAGATTGCGTTTTGTTAATTCAAACTTTAATGATGTTTTCTAACAAATTAATCTGTTACACTGTAATGGAATAAAAAAAATAATAGAAACCACATGACCAGTTTTTGTACAAAAAATAATTTATTTGAGAGTTTTGTTTATGTTGCTGAATCCTACTCCGACACAGGTCATCAAAACTTTGTCTCCACCCTTCCTCTCATCTTCTGAAGGCTTCTGGACCTCAATTTTGAACATAATCTGGAAGAAATCTTTGATGTGGCGCAGGAACTCGATCCTGGAGAGACAGGGTGGGATCAGTCTTTCTCTTTCACTTTAAAAATAACAGTTTATAACAGCGCGTGGAATATTCCAACAGTAGGTACATGAGGCCTGACACATTAAAAATTAGTAAGAACAAAGTCACAGAACAATTTGATTCCAAAACAATTAATATAATCAACGTCATCCTAAATCAGAGCCTGAGGAGTGCATCGTGATGGCACCGCCAATCTTCAGTTATCATAGTACTGTACTCGAGAGGAACACAGCACCGGTACCATGATAACTGAAAATGGACAGTTCATAGTTCACACCTCAGTCATCGAGTTCAGAACATTTCTGGAATGAACTTTAACATACTGCCAGTCCCTGGTGAGCATGGCTACGCAACAACAAAAAAACACCGCTTCACTGGGATCTGCATCAACTACAGATAAAAACTAACTCTTAAAAGATACATTTTCTTTAAAAAGGGATTAAAAGGCTTACGTGTAAACAAGCGCTCTAGATTATTTTCAATTAGTCAAAATCTCGTTTACCCGAATGGAAAAAGAACTTTGGAATAGAATCTGCTGCCAAATAAGTGGTAGATAAATAACTAAAAGCAGGGCAGAGTGTCTTTTTTAGAAAATTTTTCTCAAGCCGTCTGCTAACTGATGAAGGAGCAGTCGGTGGGATTCAGTCGGAGTTTTGTGCGAGGCGAGTGTGGAGCGGCTTTGGCTTACGTGTACGGCGACAGGGGTCCGAGCAGAACCTTTGATACGTCCTGCTGGCCAAGGGTCATCAGGAGCAGCGCCAGGCTCTGATTGGTGGAGTCCACACAGCCGCCCTACGGCAGAGAGAGCAGAGGGGCCCGTGTTTTCCAGCAACAAAAACAACGAAACGACGACGGCGGCTAAGTGCGTCACGGGGGGGGGTTTGAATGACGTGAGCCCCCCCTGACTGGGAGGCCGAGCATCTTGGGTCAAGTGCCGATGCAATTTGGTCAGGATGGAAGTATAGTAGGGGTAAGGGGGGGGAGTGTATCTTCTAAACCAGTGTGCCTGAAATGAAGGCGAGCGAAAACAGAATGCATCGGAGGGTCGTTGACATCTGGTTTTCATTCACCGTTTTTCTTACAAACTCCAGGTTTTCGTACATTCCTCGCAATCGAGTCATTTCCCTTCACGTTTCTCTCCTTTCACTGAAAGGTTTGGGTGATTTTCTCCGAACCCCCCGGCACCTCGTCTTGAGGCCTTCTGGATGATCCGAGCTCTGCATCAGCTCCTCACAGGCCTCTGGGACTACTCCCCCAGAGCCGCGCGCAGTTTCCCAACCCTCGTCGGGAAAACTATGTGCGGCTCGACACGCCCGAGAGCTTTTTGGAAACGAGGAGATCTGTAAATTAAGGAACTTTACGAAGACTTGTAGCCAAAAAAGAAAGAAAAGGCTAACTTTTCCAAAGTGTGGCCCTGGCTGGCAGTAACGTGGCATGTTGACAGCCTGTCAGCAGAATTATGATTCAATTACTTAATCATATCAGGGAGTCCATTAGCATTGTTTATGAGGCTTCGTTGAGAGCTGCATTCTCTCAGTCACAGTTCACAGATTCCACAGCCAGCAACAAAACACATCTTGGCTCAAGCTGCAAAATCCTAAGGAGAACATGAAAAACACAACTTTGACGTTTGTTTTTCAACTTTGCAGATAGTTTTCCAATTCTCAAGGCCCTTTTTACCATATAAATTTTTTGATTTGTACCCATTTTTAATTGTTGTATGGCTAAATTTGCAAAACATTTCCAGCTGACTTAAATACTGCTTTGCCCTCAGGATCTAAAGCAATAGATAGAAACTGAACACAGCTTAGCCTTACCTTTTTGAATTGGATACAAGATGCCAACAACTAGTTCAATTTCCTCCTGAACAAGCCCTGCCGTCCCACTTTATTGTGTTACGAACTACCAAATGCAATACAACAATGTCACTTCTGACCACTATTTCACACCCAGCCCTAAAGAGGCGGTTAGGATGTCCCCAGAGCCCGGCAGACCTCATGGGTCTGTGGAAAAGTCCCTTAAATCCTCGGAGTGAAACGGAATCCCTCTTCTTAACAGCAAAATTAATAATTAAATAGGATACAGAAACAGACAGAAATGGGACCCTTCAAGCATTAAAAACTGCTTCACACAAAAAAAAAAATCAGCAAATGCAGAGGAAAAAAGTTTAAAAAAATAAATAAATAAAAAAAATAACCTTTAGCGGTTATTAGACTTGAAAAAGTTCAAACCAAAAGTCCATTTCAGTCCTGCTCAACATCTAATTTATTCTAAATACCTGGACCTTCTTTGTAACATTCTAAAACCATTCAATTTGTTACTTTAGAATATAAATCGAACAGTAGTGGCATACACACATTAAAACATTACAATATTTCCCTGTTAAAAAACAAACAAACATCTGAAATGCCCCAGTGCCACGCGCCCAGCTCCGAACAGGGAGCGTGCGCTACTTACATCAGCTCCTGCTGCGCGTTGACATCGCTTCCCAAAGACAAGATGTCGATGGTGTGGCTTTGGTTTACTACTAGAGAAGTGTACTGATTAACCAGAAAACAAACAGACGCACGCAGACAGAGCGCCCGTGCGTGCCCTCCCATTCAAATCCAACAAAGGTCACCCTTTTTGTTTCCTTTTTTTTTTGCTCTACGATTAAAACCGTGACACACATGAGGAGCAGCCTCATCCCGTTCCCTGCAGGTTTCTCTTTCCTCCTCTCGGTGTGGAACCGTCAAGTGGTCAATCAGGACGAGCTGCTGTCGGAACGCCGACTTTCCGGACTTAGCTGGCCGATCTGAACAGACTAGGAGAGCTTTGGTTTCTCAAAAGAGACAGACGTTTAACAGGAGCGCGTCTGAACTCACCGCCCTGCGAGCGGATGGAGGAACGAGAGCCCCGCGCTCTGTTGCTGCGAGTTAAGAGGAGGCACCAACAATATTCCTCTTTCAGAGATAATCAGCACTACCCTGACCAGCTAACTGGACTCACATGGCTCCGATGAGAGACGACTGAGAGGCAGAGCCATGCGGAGGCACACTGAATCTCATTGTACTTATTCTGTTGAAGTTGCTTTTTTTTTTTTTTTTTCCGCCCTACCTGTGTGAGTGTCGGGTCATCCGTGTCTCTGCACAGTAACAGCCGGGATAGTCTGTTTACAGCTACTCCAGCCGCGCTAAACAGGTGCGAAGAAGCATTTCGGCCGCCCCCCGGCTCGGGGTCAAAAACAGGAATTCGTCATTTAGAAAAAGCCTGTTTGAACAAATGCCGCTCAAAAACATGAGTCCTCGGGTTCTCAGGTATGAGGACAGTCACTGGGCTCTGAACTGACCTCCACCGCAGATGACGCACCCAGCTCCATGTTTGACAGGCACAAACAGCCAAATCGTTAAAAAAAAATGAGAAAAATACTCCTCTTCTGTAGATTTCAACACTAGGCCCAAAAAACATCTAAATAAATAAATAACTTTGGAGCTTATGTTGTAAGATGAGTGTCCGGTTTTTGGCTCTTCCTAAGAGAAATACGACTTCTTCAAGTTTAAATTGGTTGAGAGTTTTAGTTGCTGAGAGCTGAGGAAAAAAAAAACAGAAAGACTTTTCTTCCTTACAAACTGACTCCATCTTAACAGAAACATTCAAACAACATTTTTCCCCAGAGCGGGTTTCTGTCTAAAAGGAGGTCCACAATCCATCTGGCCACAGCCAGAAAAACTAAAAGGGAATCAAAATGGCAGCACCCTTTAAATGCCCTCCACATTGTGGTTTTGCCAACAAACAGTTTCTCAGTGAATCTGCACACAAGGGTCATTAACAGGGAATGTGGGTAAACAAGGGTGGTCAATGTAGCAGCCTGAGCGCTCTGGTGCTGCGTTTCAGGTATTCCGAAAGAATTCCCATCATACTCGGTGCTTAGGGTTTTGTCGAGGCGTCGTGTTTAGATTGACCTGCTTCCTGGCGAATCTCAGCCGTGCTGGTGGCTCGATGCAGATGAGTTTTAAAGCCCACGTTTACCATCCAACTACCTTTCCTGAGCTGTTTTTGCCATTGTGTTTTGGACTGAAACAAGTCAGAGATTCCCTTACTGACAGTACTCCGAATAGCTTCTTTTTTTTTCTTGTTGTAAACACAAACTCTATATGTGCTGCAAAAATAGACCTCTTTGAGCTGGATAAAAAAAAAAAGGTTATAGATTAAAACGCGGGGCTCTCTTATTTTACAGCCGTATAGTCAAACCTTAGAGCTCGCTGACCAGAGAGCGGCTGATCTCATTTGGTGTATGGGGGCCATGTAACTCTATTCCCAGTTTGAGCGACTGGAAATCGAGTTGTTTTTTTTCTCTGAAAAGCAACTTGGGAGCGGAGTGGGCATGTGTCTGCTCGGTGTATATGTGTGTGTGTGTGTGAGTAAGTGTGCAGCCTACCCTGTACACCTCTTCTAAAAGCAGTTTGGCGCAGCTTCGGCCGAGTTCCTCCGGCAGCACGGGGTCTCCCTGCCCCTGTGGCGTGGACGACATCTCTGCGCTCAGGAAGCAGCCATTCAGCGTCTCCGCCACCAACGTCAGACCAAACCCCGGAGACCTGCAGCACAGGGCGTAGGGTTAGGGTCCTTTACCACATGAGTGTGAAATCCAGCCAAATCAAATTAACAGTTTGCCTTTTTCCCTTTAAAATAGGGATGTGTGTAAGGTTTTCAAGCCCTTCATTGCGCCATCTTTGGATGGGTAAAAATCCTTTGAAACAATAACAAACAAACAGAAAAACTTTAGATTTATTTGTGGGACTAAAAAGTATTTAAAAAAAGTATACATTTTAAAATTCAAGCCAATCTGATTCAAATAACATTTAAGGCTGCTCATCAACCATCAACTCAAAGACCTTTCCCCCTCCAATATTCATATGCTCCAATAATTTTGGTGCCTAAAAAAATAAATCCATTCAGGACAAAGAGGATCGACGCTGGCTACTGCCATCCTATCTACTGACAGGCAGACTGCCGTCAGCAGGCTCCGTTTAAACATTTCTGAATTGTAACAAATGAGATAAATCTTGGCACAGACACCTACTTGCCGGAGTTGGCTCCTTTCATGTGATCTGTGTAGATGTAGATGTCTGGGAGGAACTGGTTGAGGACGCCTCTGGCCGAATCCACGATCCTGTTGGCCATCTGGGGAGAAACTCGCACCGAGTATCTGAGTTCAGAAAGTCAAGGAACTCAAAGAAAAAAGGAAGGATTTGCCAACCAGTAACTTTTTTTGGGGGCTGAATTAATCGCTCAGACGAGAAAAACTTTAGGAACAACATTTTAGTTTACGTTAGAACGATTAATATTTAATACACAGACAGCCTGAGAAGCTGTGATGCAACTTTTAATGTAAAGTGGATGTGCTTGAAAGCCTTTTTAACAAATTCATAAAGCCAGTGGAGGATACGCCACGCCTCTGATCCTTTTGATTTTGCCTGGATCGGTCAGCTGGACCGGTCTGATGGTCCTGTGGACGGGGCACGTGAAAGTCACTTCTCCACCCCCACCGGGTGCAACCCCTCTTTTCAACACCTGAAGAAAAAAACAAGAAAAAAAACATGATGAAATTATGTGTTCATGTCCTTGCTGTGCTGTTCAACAGGTGATGGAAGCACTCTCACCTTCAGATCAAAACCCTCTCCATCAATCCCAAACTTCTTCATCAGGGGGAGGGCCGTGGTCTTCAGCAGGTCCACCTGTCACAGAGGAATGGGGTCAATCCCGACCGACACCAGCCTCGGTGTCTGCGCAAAGCTGAGGAGGCCCACTACTTTGCAGAAGAAAATGACAAATGCCTACACAACTAACCAAGTCTGATCACAGTGAGAGGCTGGTCAGTTTCCATGACTACACTCCTCTCCTGTGACTGCTTTGTTATGCGCTCTCATAGCAAGATGCTGCACGACAACTAGTCTGTTGTAACCATCGGAACATTTAAATCACCTTTGTAGAATGTTCAAACAGCTTCTTTGCTTCTGGGCGTTGTGTCCATATGCGTTTCAAAGTTCGCTAAACCTCCCGATCTGAATATATTACATTTTTGTCGATGGTCTGTGCCACCTCCGCTGGTCACAGAAAGGCTGAATCATGAGTGGAGGAATAATGGCTGGTCTGTTTTTGTTTTCACCCTTACCGTGGGGTCGGTGGGGTCGTTGGTAACGCCTCTCAGAGTTGCCTTCAGAGACGTTTTCATGAAAGGGGCCAGCATGAGCAGAGCCTCCAGGTAGTATCCGATGGATCGCTGCGGGCTGCAGTCATGTTCCACAGCTCCTCCGTACAACAAACCGGGCTGGTAGAATAAGACGGTACCTATTGGAGACCGCGAGAGAGCCAGTAAGAAGCAGCTATGGCATGGAAGACGAGAAGCATCGGCTGGGCAGGTGTCTAAAAATCAGAGCAATTAACCTTACATTCTTTGTAAAAGGCATTAAGAGTTTTTTAAATAGTACCGTAATCTTTTAAAAATATTACACAGTTGAGTTGAACCACTGAAAAGACACTAAAATGACAGATGAGTGTGTGATAAGTTGTAGCTTCACGTAGCATAGATTTTCTTTGTGTGTGTGTGTTTTTTTTTTAACATATTCTGCCATCAGAAACTGGGACATCGTTCTGGGAAAGCTGTACCCCAAGAGAAACTGGGACAATGTAGAATGTAATCGCCTCATTTGGGTTTCTGAACATTCCCTTGAGTTAACCATTCAAGGTGTGATGGCAAGTGGACACAGAGGACCAGGACTCTCACTTTTCAGTTCAACCACATTCAAAACTGAAATGAATTTCTGATCAGTTAAATGTATCATCACCATAACCCCTGTTTTCCACGTACAGGAGTTTGCACGAGTTAGTAAACATTTTTACCCAATTACAGCAAAGAAATGTATTGCTTGAGAAACCACATTAAAATAAAACCTAAACATGTTAAAAAATTACCTGTTTGGTTAATCTCTATTGTGGAGCCATTGGTCACCTTGTCAAGGAGTCTGATGAAGCTGGCTTCAAAATCTTGAGGGAAAAAAAGAAAAGAAAATCATAAACAAACCATCATTCCATCCAGCGTTAATAGCGTTATTAAACAATTCCTGTTTTATTCAAGTAGGTTAACAGCTTATTGCAAAAGTATGTTAAAACCATTTTTGCATACTTTTCCCACAACAATAGAATATAACTGTTATATGTCGACATTGAAATATTCGTGTGTCTGATGAAGTGTCAGATCCCAAATTCCAACACAAGTGTGTCAACTAATATAAAGCAGACGCATCCAATTAAATCCTGCTTTATAACTTCTGCAAAAAGCAACCAAAGACAAAACACTGCTGTGGCACAATAGTGCTATATTCAGCTTTCACTTACGCTCTCAACCCATCCTTTTCCCAACCCAGACTCCCCGTGATTAAACACGCTCCCAACTGCGTAACAGCTAGCCCGTTAGCCGCAGAGCTAACTGCGACGCCACATGCAGAGTGGGGCTGTAAACTCACCGCGGAGCCCCGGGTCGTCGTCTTTAGAGCGGATGTTTTTTATTTTAACTCGCTTCCCACTGAGTGTGGACAGAACCAGCCGCTGTCTGAAGAAATTACAGCCGTCGTAAGAGAGCCCGTGGCTTGCCATATTATTGTTGTTTGTGCCTTCGGTCTGTAAAATCCACGTGTGTTTGTGTGCTGGAAAACGGTGGTGGGAGATACGAGTACGGCAACGGAAGAGGGTCAAAAAGGCGGCTTTGAAAAAGTCTGCGTCCCCGCAGCGCATAGCCAATACCCCATTTTTTCATGTACTATTGAACTCACTCATGTACTCACAAATGAGTCACATTTAGAACGCTATTTGAATAAAACAGTACCTCATCGTTTACGTTTTGCCCATTCTGCATCACATAAACAAAGGTAAGAGTAGGAGCAAAATAATAAAATCATAACAGAGAAATCAGCGTAAGTTTGTTTTCTTTCAACACAGTATAAAGATTTATGGTATTTGTGTGTAATGTTTTGCAACAAATCGGAATTTGTTGCAAACAATTGAATAAAGCATTCCCAAACAAATTTAAAAATCCAATTTGGGAATAACAAAATTGATGGATAATGTAATGTCTTAGAAAACAAAACCAATTCAAAGCAGGGTAAGTTAATCAATAATCTGTTCGGACCATTATATTCAAATACACAAAATCTTTATTTAACCTAATCCTCACTCATCAACGGGATGGTAAGGAAATCCAAGTAAATATTGCATTTTTTTGCAATCCTCATGAATGAAATAAGAATTCTGCTTTTTGAGAAATGTATCAAAAGACAGCTAGATATGATCTGAATATTGATGCAGTTTATTTTCATACACAGAAAATACATAAGACAGCTTGTAATCTCTAACAAATATACATTGAGTTCAATATAAAGAAGATTTTGATTAGACATTTAACATGATGCACTGAGTTAAAAGGATAAGCATGGAGAAATTTTATAGGCTGATGTTTGTTGGGACTGGGTTAGAATTATTTAGAGCTGCACACCAAGGTCGTTGTCAAAAGACCAAATCCATCATTAGAGGTGAAGACTTAAACTAAAATGTAGTGCAGAGACACTGTAACAAGAAAAAAGCATGAAGGAGTAATGACCCAAAACAAAACTTTCACAAAATGCATTTTCCTTTTTGTCGTCTCTGTTTTTTTGTTCCCCACTCGGTGGCGGTAAGGCAACAAAAATATAAACCACAAATATGTACCACAGAACGAAGAAGGACGTATGAGAGCTGTGGAGGGAAACATCCCCATACAAACACAGATGAGAAAGGCTGTTAGGCGCTTCTTCCCAAGTTTGACATCTTCTCGGGCAAGTACATTATGAAATGGGAAATATCAGCGTCTCTGGACGTTTTGAAAAAAAAAAATCTATTTTTGACGTCGAAGTAGGCCGCAAGTAGCGTTAGAAAATGCCCAAATATTCGTGACTACGAGTGGTGAACGCCTTACTCGTGGAAACAACTCCAACTCCATGTAAATAAAAGGGGCTACATCATATTAAACAGCGAAGAAGAAGTGGAGCACACCTAGTTACAACATCGGTCATTTTTCGGTACTTTGGAGGGAAATTGTCGTGTTATCCACCCCTCCACAAGGGACTGTAGACTTTTAGTCATTCTCACACACTGAAAACGTACACTTGATAGTACTAAGGACTTCGTGCGTGTGTAGACTCCCAATAGCTTCTGGAAGTGTACACAAACACCATGCAGGCATTCAGGAAGAGCCAGTGGGCGTGGCTAGTTGTCTTAAAGGCGCAGTAAAAGGAAACGTAAACAAACTCTCCATCACAAATATATGTAAAATATTACTCTACATGTGACTGAACGGCAGATTAAAATTTAATTAAAGGAACAGAAGTGACGGGTTTTCCCCGCTAAGAGCAGGTTTTCTAAACCGGGCGTCATAATCAAATCAGCGAAGTCGATAATAGCAATGTAAGTTTTTGCACATGTGAACATTTGTATATAATAGCCCGAAGACTTCGATTCAGGGACCAGATTGGTTGTTAAATCCAGCCTGCTCGTCAAGCTGTTTCAGTTCAGGATCGGAAAGGGATTAACCGCCGCAATCTGACCATCAAGATTTCTTTTCCGCCAGCAGACCGATTGCGTAACCGCATTATACGATAAATGCATTGGTAGAAAAGCATAAACGGAAATGCGGGTGGGTGATATTCACTAAAACGCCTGGAATAGCTCTTTTCCAAGACGTGCGTCGTCGTCCGGAGAGGGCTGTATCTCCATCTGCCCCTGCTGGCCCTGCCGTTGTTCATCTTATTTCTCCTCCTCCTCCTTCCCCCTCCTCTTCCGACTGTGTGAGCCGGGGCATGAGGAAAGGACTGACTGCTTAAAGACTTGCCCATTCTTTGTTGCGTAGTTTTTTAAGGAGCGTGCTTCCACCCTGCTGTATTCGAGCGCCCGCAGGGGAGGTTTATTAGGACTTTTGATTTTTTTCTTTATTTCGTTTGGAGCTCAAATTAAAGCCCAGTTCGCTCAGAAATGGTTCTGCAGAGAGTTATCCGTGCTGTCATCATGGGACCTCCGGGATCGGGGAAAGGAACGGTGTCTGCGAGGATTACCAAAAGTTTTGAGCTCAAACACCTCTCCAGTGGGGACATTTTGAGATCCAACATCAACGCAAAAACAGGTGAGGTGGTGCCCTGTCTCATCCCAAAACACAACCGGGGCATTTGGCATTTTGTGCCCCATTGTAAAACTTCAACCCCCTTTCTTTTTTTTAACATATTGCACTGCGGAAAAATTTCCCTCTGCACTCTTCTGATAAGAGCACCACTCCTGTAACTGTGCATTTCTTATCTTGCTCAGCCATGCCGCAGAGGTATAGCACTTGTACTTACTCTCAAGGTTAGGTCAGATTTAAAGCGGTAAAAGAAGCTCTGGTTTCAGGTTTATACTCCAAACATTTACACCATCATCACCTGAACTTTGGAAGGTGGCCACTGATCATTGGTATCACCTTGAATGCAGATAAAGGGAGTCATAAAAAAGACCTGCAACAGTGATCTTTTGTTACTTTTGAAGGCGGGATAAACAGATAAAGGTGTGCTTTAGCAGATGGAACTGCTATGATATAGAGAAGGCTTCAGTCCAGCGAGTCTGAAACTGTGGAAATAGCTTTTTGTTCTTTAATCAAACATTACACGTGTGTCATCTGGAAGCTCAAATACCTTTACAATCAAAGTTGTATGTATTGTTTAACTGTTGACTTTCTAGCTCCAGACTTTCCCACTTTAACGATTCAGAGGACGCCACATTCTCATATATTGAATCTTAGACTTTCCCTTACTCATGTTTTGTCATGCCAAAGTAGAAGCCATGCAGCAGCATTTTGCTTTAAAGATTATATTATTTTTCAACGCACTTTAAAATAGGTTTCATCATGCAGGGTTTCTTTGAACTTACAGAAACTGCTGCACGTTTCTGAGCGTCTCTTTGGGTACCTTTGCTCAGTGTCGTGTTAATTTTTGCAGAGTCAGAAGATTCTTGAAGGCTTGTCGCAACATTCCATTTCCTCAGCTGGACTCTGACCAATGAAAGCTGCGTTTTGGAAGCAAAAAGTGTTCTGCTCCAGCTTACAGCCCAAACTTTTTTAAATAAATTAATAAGGAGTATGCTTTACACACCAAATTAAACATTTTCTGGATCCTGATGGTGTGAAGTGACACACTAAGTCTGTGACCGAATGCTAAGTCAGTGATATGTAACTGATTTCAAGGAAGTGATCCCACATAATTTATTCTTTGAGCAAAGTTTTTCAATGTTTGACTTTTTTATGCATCTCAACTTTGCAACATTTGTTGCCATCAAAGATTTTTCAGCTCACATTTGCAGGAAAATCAACTCTATGTTGCAAATACGAATGACTGTTGAACGCTTCATCCTGGTTTCATGTTCAGTTTGTTCCCTTTTGCACTCTTTTCCTCAGGAACGCACAGGTGTTTCAACCAGTCCGACCTTTCCTTTTTCCTAAAGACATGTTCTCCACATTACTGGTCAATGCACAAGCCCCGAAGTGTGATTGTTCCACCTCCATTCTCAAAAGTTGTGGAGTTGTAGTTGGTCTGATGCGTATTTTTTAATGTCTTTGCCGTCAGCTGACTATCCTCTCAGCAAAAAAAAAAAAAAACAGTTTAGTTTTCTTGCTCTCCCAGATCCTAACGTGACTTCCACCAGTCCTTTCAGCTGCCTTATTTTTTTCTCACAACAAACTGGAGAAACAGCCGCCAATCTTTTAGCCTCCTCCTTTTTTGGAGAACTGTTATCAAACCACAGCAATGTGCTCAGAGGAGCACGTTGCTCTGGATTGTTGAGACTAGCTTCGAGAGTCCGTGCTGCAGCTCAATGGTTGTTTTTAGTAAACCGTGGCCCCGACAAGTTATTTAAGGTGTGAAACCTTGGTTAATGTTTGCACTCATATCCTTAGAGTTACCTGAACATAAGCACGAGGCCCCTTTTGCCTTCATTCACTTCAGAACTCTACAAAGAAACGTACACAAACAGCGCAGGTATCCAGCATAAAGAGTTTAAAAGGAATTCCGCATTTCTGACTTTATCTTTTGAAGGTCAGCTCATTTTGTACGCCAACAAAAAGTCCATACATTTGCACACTGCTTCAGATTTGAATGCTGACGTGCCACACAGACTGTTCAGAAGTGTTTGTGCGTCTGGTTGGATAGTGAAACCACGGAAACAAGAACAGTTTGTAGAATCATAGAGAAAAGTCGACACATCGTGTTTTGCAAACAGTACGAACTTTGAAATGCGTCAAATTTAAGATACGGGAAAGGAAGATAGGCCAGTTTGGTAAACGATACGAGTGCTATTCTCATTTTCTGTCTGTGCCCCCTGTTTTTCCCGTGTGGCAGAGCTGGGCCTGTTGATGAAGTCCTGTCTGGACCAGGGTCAGCTGGTACCTGATGCCGTCATGTCTCGTCTTATCCTGAACGACCTGAGGACAATCGACAGCAGCAGCTGGCTCCTGGACGGTAGGACCCCTAAAGTTTGAGTCAGCGCTTCTTCTAGGAAATGATTGCCAGTGGAGCGTGTTATCAGGGGAGCCTGTTCCAGCGTTTGTGAGACCAAACGCTTTGTTTGCTCTCTAATCTTGGGTCAATGAGACAAGGGAGAGGCAGTGTGCTCGCGCCCTAATTTGATTTTTGGGGGGTTTAATGAAAAATCCAGGTATTCATCCCATCACCTTTTTGTTCACAGTTCCTCCTTTTGATCCTTTCTATCCCCAGGATACCCACGCACGGTGCCCCAGGCGGAAGCTCTGGATCACGCGTACACCGTGGATACAGTCATCAACCTCGATGTTCCTTTCCAGACCATCAAAGAGAGGCTGACCTCTCGATGGACTCACATTCCAAGCGGCAGAGTCTACAACACAGATTTCAACCCGCCGAAAGTTCCAGTAAATACAGCTTCTGTTTCCTGCTCACATCAGCTCATGTGTTTATGGGAAAAGTCAGCCAAAACGAGGAGAAAAATGTTTCCATTTTTAGAAAATGGAGAATCTGAAATCTCGAAAATGGCTGAATAGTTCCAGAATATTTTCCTGAATGATCTGAACGTGAGCTCCCTTCCTCTTTGACGCTCCAACACTGGAATTCCAAGGAATTCTGAACCCTGAGGTGACCTACTGTTGGTTTGGCTCTGAAATAATCTTTTCCAAATGTGGAAAGAACTGGAGGAAAATGAGCTCTCTTCTTTAACTCAATCAAAAACCTGACAATAGAAAAGGGTCAAATGTTTGAAAGATTATACATCTTATTTTAAAGCCAGTATGTTTCTCCACCCCACTGATGAGGGTAATTGTCGAACTGTTTGACCTCAAATAGCTTTTCCCCCACGTCTCAAAGGATTGGGAGGGCTGAGCCGTCCCCCCACAGAGCTCAGATTATGGTGGACACCTGTTCTTGTCCGCATACTGAAGCTCAGAGTGAAAACACCAGAAAAAGTTGGCCCCTGCTGCTGATTAATGCTTAACCTGAATAAACCTGTAATATATGATGTGGCGTTTCTTGTTGTCTGTCCCAAGAGACTGCGCTGGCCTCAGCTTATGGTCATGTTTTCCTTTCAGGGTTTGGACGATGTGACCGGGGAGCCTCTTGTCCAGAGGGACGACGACAGACCGGACACGGTCACACGGAGACTGAAGTCCTATGAAACCCAAACAGAGCCTGTCTTAGAGTACTACAGGTAGAGCTTTGCAGTTGAACTGAATTATTATCAGTATTTTAGCAGTCAGGGGTTCATTTACAGCATAGAGATGACGACTCCAGAGCTTCTTCTCACACAGCCTTTCATCCATTGTAGTGAAGACATCTTGTGATGGTGATTTTAATTGAGATTCACAACAAAGCAAATTCAATGGCTTTCAAATGTCTTAATAACGGCTTTGTTACCAGGAAAGGGGCTCTGATTCTAACCTTTGATGGTATCAGACAGTTCTCCTGTCTTTGCCATGTGAGGTGGAAACTAGAGACAATCGGCCCCCTTCCCCCCAAAAAAACAACAGTCTGTAAAAGGTCATTTTAGGTCAAGCCAATTTTTTTTTTAAATACAGTTAGAAATCATAAAGTACATCTTTAAGTTATTAATTGACATGTTTATTCTATGATGTAGAACTTCTTTTTCAACATTACAATTGCAGAACTCATTACACCGAAACTTAACTTAAAATGGACCACGTTCGTCTGATTTACAGCATGAAAGTGAGAGCCGAAGACGGGCTTTAAATATAGGTAAAAGGTCACAGCCATGGAGCTCTGACCTCTTTGGAGACTGAAACCTGCTTAAGAACCAAAGGTGGCCAAATGGAGACATTTAAGCTGGCGGTTCAGATTGCATTTTGTCATCATAACAAACACAAATGTTAAAGGTTTACCGGAAAAATCAACCGAAGCTCATAAAACGTGAAAGAATTACAAGTGTGTACATCTTCAGTCTTAATTTCATGAAAAACTACGTGACATTTAAGTTACATTTAAGTCTAAATATGATTGATTTGAATGATTGATTTCTGTGCAGCCTATTGAAAAAGGTCTAGAAATGTAAATTAATAAACAGACTTCCTTTTTTCTGTCTCCATTTGCCCCTCCAGGAGTAAAGGTGTGCTGGAGACCTTCACGGGCACAGAGACCAACAAGATATGGCCCTACGTTGAAGCGTTCCTCCACAGAAAATTCTCCTCTCTCAGTCAAAGAGCGGCTTAGAAAGCCAAGAGGAAGAAGAAGGCCTGAATTTTACTGACCGAAACTGTGTGCTTCATCCAATCAAAAGGCCACTTCTTAGAACTTTGACAAGAGGGACTTTATACTGCCTAACATATTTGGTGTTCAGAATGAGGGTCAGTCTCACTTTGTCACACAGGATGTAAAACAAGTGCAGACATGGGGTAGAATGGGTTTTTCCAGATGCTTTTTATAGCACTAAAATCAATAAGTTAATTAGTCAAAATCGGTAAGATTTGTGTCGTTTATGTTCATATTGATTATCTCTTCATTCCATGTTGTGCCTTTTCGTAAAGCCTGGAGCAACAGATGGGATTTGTAACCAAATGAAGAGTTAGCAGAAGGAAACGGGGCGACTGGCTTGGTTTGTCCTGGTCAAGTTCGGTCCCATTAATTCCAATCATGAGTTTATCTTACTTGATAGCTGAAAGACTGAAAAGAACAGATGCACACGTCCACAAAGTCCTGAGTGAAAAGAAAGGATTTAGAAGCTTCTGTATGTAGGGTCCTTTGTGCAGAGGGTATCTGGCCCAAAGGGAAAGCTCTGTACAGTCCCAGACTAACTGATGCACACTAGTGCCTTGTGCTGCTTGACAATTGAACAGAAATCTCAGCAAATGTGCTTTGTAAATACTTTAATCGTTCATGGACCACAGTTGGAATAATGTAAGAACGGGCTGCATTTACATGTTGGATATTTTTAATTTTCACAATTCACAATCTCTGAACCATCTCAAGTCTTACATGCTCCACGTTGTTCTTAAGTCAGCTGGTAACTTCTGTTTGCCATTTGCTGTGTCTTACTTGACAACTTAATGATATATTAACATAGTGTACACAGGGTTAAAACTGCAGGGAGTTTCGCACTTTGCTCTAAACGTTTCATCCCAAATAGAAGGCTCTGAAACACTCAGCGGTGTTCCACATGAACTGAAACAATGAATGACTCTTGAATGATTCTATGTATTAAACACTTGAATATGTTTTATATATATTTTAAAATATATAGTTGAACCTTTTCATGAAGCACTCTCAGCTGTGTAATAAAGACTTATATAAAATATACAATCATGTTGTCCATTTAAAAAAAACAAATTCAATAAACAGTTCACACAATTCAAAGAAAGTTTGGTAAAAACGAAATGTCCGCAGCAGAATTTTATGTTCCCCGTTTATGGCCTTAGATTACTTTATTTTGCTTTTTCGTGCACAGTAATATGTGGATGGACTTGCTAACACCCTCCAACAAGCAAGAACCACAACAGTTTCTCTACAAATCCATTTATATGCATCTGGTCTATATGTCAGAATCTCATTCTGCAACATCATGTACAACTAGATGCATTTCCATTTCATCTTTTTTCATGACTCTACCAGGAAAACTACAAAAAATCTCAACACAGAGGTCTTTATTAGTATCAGAATAGCCAGACCTGCAAAGTCAGACAAATGGAACACAGCAACAGAGACATAGCTAATGTGTATTGAAGGTGGATGCTCAATTAATACTGGAGGTTATTTCTAAATGATTAGTTGATCAGATTTAATGAACTAATTAATATGCTGGAAAGTTACCTGCCGTCTCAACATTTAAAGCTAGCTAATGTTTTGTACCATATTTCAAATTCCACAAATATTTTATCTTTTTTTTCCCTTAAGCTTTTTATTTATAGAATAAAAAGTGTCACATATGGAGCAAACAATAGAGAGCCTAATGAATCTGCTTAATTCTGCTACATGAACAAAGAGAACTGCAAAATAAAGGAAAGGTTTAACTAAACGAAACATCATCATTAAACTAAAGCTTGCAGAAAATCTGAATTTTCTTTCTGCATTGCTGAGAGAATAAATAGTGACAAAACAAAAACAATAACCTCAAGTGAAGTGCTTCAAACACTCTGCTTTAATTGCCTTTTTCAAAATGTTTCTGCTTTGACAGTGAAACATAAAGTGCTCGACATATTCAAATACAGTAAAATCTCTTTTTACAAGAGTACAGCCCTTTTAAAAAAAAAAATCCACTCCTGCATACTGATGCCTTCTCTTTTTAAAGTCAGGATAAAGTGTTAAAAAGAAAATAAACTACGGTGACTTAACTACATGGAAACTGGTCAAGAAAACCTGTAGGTGGTTACTACATCTAACAACAGAGAAGAATCACCAAAAATAAAAAGAGATTTGGCATGATTTCAGCTACATGTCTAGTGGTTGGAAATGGAGACTTGGATGACCTAAACACATGACAGATTTTAGCAAACATCAAGTGCTGATGTTTACCTACTATGATACCTCCACATCTGGAGGGTTAAATTATTCACACATGTCAAATGGTGGAAAATAAAGAGACAACGCTGTCAAGCACACCAACAATCACTTTTGGTATATTGTCATATTTTAGCATTATGCTAAGTGCATGATGAATATGTTGCAACCTGCTGCACCCTTTCAACTCATTACCAGCTTGAACAGATCATCTCCACGAGTCTCTTGATTATGTCCTCCTTACTGATGGTGCACGAATACACAGAAAAAGAGCTTTCAGTTCTCATCCTGGCAGATTTCCAACTGCATGTCTGTTAAAAGAACACATACAATTTTCTGCGGGGGAGGGGGGGAAGGTAGCCTGCCCCAGGTACCGTCCGACATTAGTCAGAGTCCACCCTGCACAGGTCACCAGCCCAGAAAAGAACCCAACACACACACACTCTTACATTCTCCTACGATTAATTTAGTCACCAATCGACCCGGAGCGAGTGTTTTTGGACAACAGCAGGAAGCCAGGACATCCTGAGAGAAGCCACGCATGGACATGTACACTCCACGGAGAGATCCACGCTAAGGTCCAAAAAGGCAGCCATTCTGGCCATGGCTGCCAGCCAGCACACGGCCAAACACCAGCTCCTCCAGGCAAAGCGTGGTCTCAGTCTCACACACTTGTTTCACAAATGCTTAAAGCAGCACATTTTAAGGCCACTGATCCTCAGCTGATCTACCTGGGCCACGTGACCCATCCGCCTCTTACACTTGAACCTTTTCCCACATCCGCCTACAGTTTAGCTTGTTGATCTGACGGCTGGAGAAAACACCCCATTCAGGAAGCCCCTGTCGGTACATTCTGTCCTCTCAGACAATACTCCTTTATAACAGGCTTGAGGCCAATACGATGGACTGTAGTTAAACATGAAATAAATAAATGATATGAGATCCAGTTTGTAGAGCTGGTGAGACTGGGAATGAGCAGACATTTAGGAAATACCTGCTCCAAATGTCCTCAGAAGCTCCAGAGCGGGGTTATTCTTGACTTGTTTAAAATGAATCATTCAAAAAGGTCCATCATTTCAGTTAAAACTTACCGTAGACGCAGGATACAAAGCACTATGACATATCCTCTACTCAAACCTCACATGATTTCCCATCAGCTGCTCTGTGGCCCACGGCCTCCTCAGGCACTGCATGGGGTGCCCAGCTGTCTGCTAACCAGAAAGTTTGCTTATCTGATTTCAATCGCTCCTCTTTCACATCTTCCAGATCTCCATCTGTGAAACAAAGGTTATGGCACGCTAGTGGCATTGAGCAGCTGTATGGACAGAGAGCGGACAGCCACATAACGAAAGGCAACGCTGAGAAATGCTCGAAATTCATTAGAAACGTTACTTCCAGCAAGCGAATATTGCAGCGTAAAGAGTGGACGTGTTCTCTGTGCGTCCTGCTTTGCAATGGTGTTTTTTCCATCTTGGTCGGACAGTTTGCGATCCTACATGGAGTAGATCGAGACGGGAGGCAGGAGCTGAAGCGGGACCGCTTATGAGGTCTCCATCATCAGTATGTCTTCCGTCTCTGAGGCATCATCCTTTGTCCACCTCCCTGTGCTCGTCCGAAGCCCGGTCTCTAAACAATGCTTCATGTTATGCTCAGCCACCTGCTGGACAACAGTAAAGACAGATTAGAGTCACCAGCCATTTAAAAACAACCAAAATGGAACAAAACCATCTTTAAATTAACTTAAAATTCCATAAAACATCTGACATCAGATGCATCTTACACCACCTTCTGCTAATGATGCTTTTAAAATATTTCCTACAGTTTAAAATGGCTTCAGCAGAAGCTGATTCCTTTCTCCTCTTTTGTAAGTAGATATTTGGCAGTTAGCAAAACTGAGGGGCCAGCAGAGGGGAGGTGGCCCCATTCTTTCTTGCTTACAACAGGCTTTCACAACACAACGACACAGCACACCATCTAAATACAGAACTGTTAGCTGTGGCAAATAAAAGAAGAAAAAATATATCCTTCACTTGTGGAATCCCTTTTCCATAAACCAGGTGTGGGAAACCCTGCTGCTGTCTGAATTCTACACACCTGAAACGGCTCCACCTCCAGTGGATACAAGTTTGATTAGTTTGCATTTTTTTCCCTTGCACCCTTTAGTCCGTCAGACTCAGCTTGTAACCATCAGGCCAGATGAATCGATGAATACGGACATATAATTTCTTCACACAAGAAAGATGTTGCCAGATTAGCTGCCTTATTCTGGTTTGAATGTGTAGGGTTTTCAGTGTCAAGGAGTTGGTTCTGTGTTTGTTCGGCCCCATCACCGTGGCAACTTCAAGCTGAACCAACGACCTGCTCCAGAGGAGTTTGTGAAGAGTTTCATTTTAGGCTGAGCTCATTAGCGAAAGATCTGAAGCTCCCCAATGCAGCAGCACCGGCTTAGAGCGGTGGCGTGGTGCAAATAGGGAAAAAAAGAGGGGGGGGAAAAAGGCAACACTGAAAACATTTTTTTTGTTTTGCTCCAGTATTCCACCTGTTTCTTGTGCTCACAGTGAAAGGCAGCTGGTTTGGTACCCCCAATGACAAACTAAGGGTCACATTTTGACAGTTTAAATTATAAAAAAAAAAAAAAAAGAAATAAGCATTTTCTTTCGCTGTGCCAATAGGGAAAAAATACACAAGGTAATGGTGCCATCTTGCTGCCAAACGGGGGAACTGCAACAGGCCGCGGGTCCCACCAGGCTCTCAGGAGCAAAGTGAGCTACTGACTTACTTGTGGTAATAAATCCGTTGCTTCTTTGGAGTTGGCTCTATTGTTCACATCGGTGTTCTGCTGCTCAATGTTGGACATGTCGCTTCTACTCGTGATTGTGTACTCTTTAACCCGCTGTTTGAAGGCCTCAACTTCTGTGTGGAAGACTTCTAAATAGACGTCTTGTCCCTCCTGCGAAAAAACAACAAGCATATCAGGAAACTGTAGTGCAAGCTAAGTCAATTTGACTTTTTAAAAACACTAAAAGCCGAATTTTCACCATTTCGTTACCAGCCGTTTTAAACAAACTGGAAGAATTTGGATAAAGAGCACTCGCAGACATCCATCCACCCATTTGCTATACCGCTATCAGAAGGATCACACAGAGACGAACAGCCACACACACTTACATTCACTCCTACGGACCGTTTAGTCTTTAAATATGCTTTTTTGGGGGGGTAGTGAGAGGAAAGTGGCGAGAACACAGGAAGGCTAACGGTCCTCCGGGGATTTGGACAGGGAACCCGCTTCCAGTGAAGCCACAGACATGCACATTGCTTATCGGATGGTGGGGCCTTACTTTGGCTTTTTGGAAGAACTGTCTGAAGCAGCCTCGAGGGTCCTGCTGGGAGTTTGAAGCCATCTCCAAAATAAACTGCATGACCACAGCTTGGTGCGCCACCTGCTCCATCAGTGCCTCTTTCTGCAAGACCAAACAAACTTACCCCTCAATGCAAATCAATCATGCAATATCAGAAATTCTTTAAGTCAAGATTTATCAAGCTTCTATGTTATGTAGCAGATTGTAGAAAAATAAAATAAATAAAAGACACACAAGTTAAGAGAGGAGGCTTAATGTGAAATCTACCAGTCTGGTTTGACAGACTTCGATGAAACAACCATGACGGCCATTTTTTTTTTCCTGGTTCATGGTTCTCCTGTGCTTTTGGAACAGAAACCTATGGAGCTCCATTGAGGCATGCCCTGCATCAGGATGCACCATCACAGGCAAAACTCCTTACTAGGGCTCTTTTAAAAAGGATGCATTTGGTTTCTTTGGCAAGCTGCTGGTTACAATTTCCAGATAAAAAGAAACCCATTGAATCATCACGTTACCCCTTCTTGTTGTAGTCTAATGCACCAGAGAATTAAGAAGTTGGCTGCTTCCTCACAGATGAGTTGAGGCATGTCTGAAAGGAACCGCTGACTGTCGTCCCATCTTCGCAACATACCTGAAACAAAGAGCAGTGGCCTGTTTCGCAATGGGCTTATGAGCCAAAATAACATGAGTTTCAAATTGGCGAAAATTACATTGAGAGAGAGGAAAAAGATTCAATGCTACTGCAAAAGATTATAGAGTGTTTGTGGTTCTTCCAACTGGCTCCAGAGAACCACACACTTTCTGCTTCCACATACAGAAATGGAGAAATACAGAAATTCATGCCAGGTCCTGTGGATTGTCTGTCAAAGCAGACAGAATGGGAAAAAAAAAAAAAAAATCGACATGTCTGTCTTTACAGCCTCACTCACCAAAATGCCTAAGCTCTTGTTCATACTTCTGGAGAACTGTACTACATTTGTCCTGGTCCATTTCTGCAGGGCAGCTCTGGGCATTGATAATACTCTGGGGAAAAAAACAAAAACATTAAGAGATGCTCAAAGAGTACATAACGACCAAAGAAAAAAATGCCAAAATGTTACCAGACTACATTATGCTCCTCCCTATTTGTCATTCTACTATGGAACTTGTCACTATATTCTTCATTTTCTTCTTCAAACTCACTTTGTCGAAAACATCCCAGCTGCTAGTGGCACCCGGGGCAGGACTGCGGCTGGGCTCCAGGCCTGCCAGCAGGCTCTCCTTGCGACGCCACTCCTCCTCGGTGTGTGTGAGCTCTGTGGGGCAGGCCCGAGTGCGAGCGCGCTCCTGCTCCATGGACTCAGAGCTGTGGACCCCCAAAGAGCACAGCTGGTCCTGCGCCTCGGCCAGCCTCCAGCTGGACACGATGGAGGCTTTCAGAGACTGCTGCTGGGTCTGACACAGGGACGCCACAGCACAGTCACAGTGGCATGATGATGGGGGCTAAGCGTTAGGTGAGAGAAAGAGAGAGACGGAAATACTGTCAGGGTCTGATTGTCTGATGTCTGATCATGAAGCTATGCTGTGTATAAGAAGAAGAAAAAAAAGCTTTGGACGTCTTGGAGTGCAAATGCAGTACAGAACCGCAAACACCAACAAACTCCTGTATCCCTCCATATATAAAGCACGGTGGGTCAACAGTTTGTCAGGTTTCAAGATTACAAACATGCTATATTTGGCACTGGGTGAGGCAAGAAGCCTAATCATGGAAGCTTACTTCAGTTAATGCTGACATGTCTATCAGAACAAATGGCGTACAGCTGTGGAGATCCTAAAGGGGTCTCGGAATCTTAACAGTGCCTGCTGAGGTATGTGACAAGGCCAATCTTAAAAATATATATTTATGAATTTAGTTGACTAATAGTTTTATAATAAGATGAGTTAACTTGAGAGGATCACCAGATATCAGCATGGCACATAGCTAGCCTACTACATCACCATTGCATTTACTCTGGCATGTAGCCTGAAAACGGACTTGATCATTTATTTGTTGATAAAACTGCTTAGTGAACAAGTAATCGTACATATTCCATTTACTTTCGAGGACTGAGCAATGAGCTGAAATAATGCAAACCCAAACATCTTTCCGCATGCGTCTTACTCCTTGAAGTTACCTTTGCGTTAGCAAATGTATTGTCAGTCTTACGCTAACAATTCGACCTCACGCGGACTCAGTTACCTGTTTGTGAGGATATAGACCAATAAAACCCCTGCCAGTCGAAGTTGGATCACTGTCAGGTTCTTCCTTTGAGTGAAGCGAGGCCCCGTTGCCCAGCCACTCCATACCTACGAAACAACTTAGCTTGCCGTTGTATCTATGGCTGCAGTTGCGAGCTAACGCTAGCTATGTTTGAGGAGTCCGAGGCAGTTTTGCTCCTTATATTCAGCCGTCAGCCACGTTTATGTGTGAAAATCCCGCGTCTGAAAAAAGGAAACGGTGCAAACTGGGGCGAATGGCGGTGACAAATCACTATGACAATGTTACTAACAATAACATTCACTGCTCTAACTGTCCCGGCTGGGTCTGCTTTTAAAAGATGACGCAATGAGCACGTGGTACACTGCTTTCTTCACGTGACATGATCTGAAATTGCTAAGAAATTCTACTGAGTTCCAGTAGATTCTTGCGTTAAGGAAGAACAGTGTTGCAAATAAAAAAATCGATCTGACATATTAAAACCTATAGGACCCCCCTCTGCCCCAAAAAGAGAATGCAAAGTTAGCAGAAAAAACAACAACTGATGAAAATGACACAGGTAAATAAACAAAATAAATTAGAAAAACATACTGACACAGAGAGGGTAATGTTAATCAAGATGTGGTTAAATTGTGAAAAAAGGTCACTGGTAAGAGCAAATTTAACTATTTAGAAATTAACTTAAAAAAACAACTGAAGGGCTTGTGAGACAAAACAACCCCATTAAATTAAAAATAACGACAGAGAGACAAATACTTTCTCCAAGGGTTTTCTTTGGTTGAGATGGTTTGATTGATGTCTATATTTACTTTGTTGCCCCTTTCTAAACCCATGCCTAGTATATTCTCACAACCATTGTGTTGAACAGCTCTTCAATCAAGTTCATTCAGTAAGAAATATCCAACCATTTTAATGGTGATTAAAGTCCTTTGGAATAGTTTTCTATTGGCATATTTTGCCTCACACATAGAGAGTCTGAAATAGACCGACACTGATGTACTTTAATCTTAATTTAAAGGTATTAAGGCACACCCGTTTCTAAATCAGCTTACCTGTACTACAACCTTTGTCCAAATGGTGGCGGTAATGCGCTCTAACCTTACAGGAGAGTTCCCCGGAAATGTAAGCAGTCGAGCAAGAAACTTCTGTTTTGTATTCCCTATATTTAGTCTTACAGGCATACCATTTTTAAGAAAAGCCTTGAATATTGTCATATGCCTACAATTAGATCTATTATATGTTTTGGGGGTTGAGTTATTATGTAATAATTGTGTTTGGAGTCTATAATCTATGCATAACGGGAGAGTGATTGCGTCCTGAGGCAAAAGGCGCGGGTGAAATTAACTCTCATCAACACATGAGCTAAATAACTCAAAGGTTGTCTACCCGTAGATATGTGCTGAATAGTGAAAAAGAATTGTATGGTGAGTTAAATTGCATGTATTATGTAATATTTAGTATTATTCGACATGTTCGACTTGTTGACACGTTGAAACAAGTAAAAACGACTCTGGTGGACAGTAACATGTCAAACTAGCTCTGACGTTTGTGAGCTAGCTTAAACCGAGCTAACTTTTTTGAATTACTGGAAACGTGTTTTCCATCTTTTATGGCTTTTACATGAGGGCGAGTGTGTGAAATGAGGATTTAGTACACAAGCACGCGCTATTAAAGGATGTTTTTAGGATAACGTCAGTCAGACGTGCAAATATTTGTTTACAGGAGGCAAGGTTGTGTGTCGAGGGAGTAGGTTTTGCATTGCCACGCCACAAGGTGGAGATAAGAGATAATAATAGCCACATTTAAGTGAAGCATTCTGTCATTTTCCTTTCTCCATATCGTGAAATAGCGCTGTTGCTTGTATAGTAGCGACTGCCAAAGGCCGCCTCCAGAGTCTTCAGACCGGCAAGAACAACCAGACTTTAGGCCTTAAAAAACATCCTCAGCCTGAAATGATGTATCACAGCCAGCTGGCATTTTGCCCTTTCTCAGGCTTCTGTTCCCACAGGTTTTCTTTGTGGCAGCTAAAAATGCAGTATGTATTATAGTACCTTTGTTTTGGCTTAATTTAAGAATACCTTTTCCCTACTCTGCTCCTTTTAAAAAGTCTATATATCTATCTATCTGTCTGTCTGTCTGTCTGTCTGTCTGTCTGTCTGTCTGTCTGTCT